TGGGGCAGCCAAGCCTACTGCCTTTCACAGAAATAAAATTTGTCCCTTGGAGGTGGCAGATCTGAATGCTGATAAATTTTCTTCTGGCACAACTGGCTTCCAGCCTGGGATGCACAATCCAGCACATAACATTTGAAATCTTCCTGATCTCTTTCCTATATTTTACTGACTCCCAAAGGAATTTTCTGGAGTCTTACTACCACCTGTAGGACAAGGAAGTTGGCATCATATCTTTGTATTAAGTTGCTGGTTGCTCATTTTTGATGTAATTTTCCTTGTGGCTTAACACAGTACAATAACATATGGGTTTGGGAGCTGGGTTGGCACAATACAGAGCTTTTTATTACTCAAGGGTCCTGATGGGCAAAAAGGTGAACAGAAGTCAGTGATGTTCCCTGGCAGCACAGAAGGTCAGTACCATCCTGGGCAGTGTTACCAGCAGGCTGAGGGAGATTATCCTTTCCCTTTTCTCAGTCTTGAAGTACTGAGTCTGATTCTGCATTTCCCGGTACACGGGAAACATGAACATACTGGGCAGAGTTCAGCAAAGGGCACAGATATGAGGAAGGCCCTGGAGTATGTCTTTTACAAGGAAAAGCTGAGAGCTGGAACTCTTCAGCCTGGAGGAAAGAAGGCTCAGGGGGATCTCAGCAATGTGTATCAATATCTGATGGGAGGAGTGAAGAAGACAGAGCCAGAATGTGGTTGGGGGTACACATTTGCTACAACAGGAGACAAGGGGCACAAAGTGAAAGACAGGAATTTCCATTTAAACAGAAGAAAAAAAAAATCACATGAGGATGGCCCCCACAGGCTGTGGAGTCTCCATCCATGGAGGTATTCAAAACCAAGTGGGCATGATCGTGACAAATCTGCTTTAGTTGGTGCTTCTGGAGAAGGGAGAATGGACTAGGCAAACTCCAGAGGTGCCCTCCAGCCTCAGCCATCAGTGGTTCTCTGATTACCATACAGCACATAGTTTGTGGCTGAAGTGATAACAAACACTTGCATTTTGTCATTTTGATAATGTTTGCTTATTATAGGTACTTTACAGCTTATGGGTTTAATCATAATAAAGGAAAACTTTCTTATTATTGTTCTGCATTAAGAAATACTGAAAGTTGTAGCTAAATTTTTGCCAATGAGAATAATTGACTTGATATTAATCTTGTTATCGAGGCAGAGCAAAGGTGGAAGTACTTGAATTTTTGAGCTCTTCACTCTGTGTTCACAGTCTTGGTCTGGTGATCTTGTAAGGTGATGGGGGTATGATGGAGGGATATGGGCTGAAGAAGATGATGTGGGAAGATTTGAGCATGGTGCAGAAGCCCACTAGGGGACAAGAGAGCCTTTAGTGACCTTCAGCATCCTAAGGAAGGAGAAACTTAGCATCAAAACTGAGAAGAAGCTGGTGAGAAGAGAGGCTGCTTCTCCTTACGTGTGAGAATTGCTGGCAGGCACTGGCTTGCCAAGTTTGCTGCTGCTGGCTCCTTTCACTGGGAACTTCACCAGGAGGCTGTTTATTCCCATTCCAGCTTCAAGAGAGAGCCCTGGCCTTTATAGACCTTCAGGGATGAGGCTGTGAAAAAACATAACATTTTTGCTCCCAGACCTTTGTGTTCATTTATACCATTTAATCTGTGTGTTGTATCCCTTCTGTTTACTTGATTTCCCGGAGCTTAAGCAAAGCGTCTTTTATCACGTCTGCACATTTCCTTTCATCCCATTCATGCCTGAAAAATATCTGACAATATTTCTAGTGGATGCTCTTGCCAGATTTACCTTTCAGAATTTTTTTTTCATTTACAAAGTCAGTATTTTATAGCACAAAGTCTTCTTTTTTTATTTATTTTTTGATCCACGTTTTTTGGACTGCTGGGAATTGATTGGCATTTTTGGCATTAAGTTGTGATCCACAGTAACCAGCAGACTGTCAATCTTTCATCATCTTAGACTTGTCACTCCAACATAATGGAAAAGGAAGGTTTAAGATGAATTGAGGAGCTGTATGATTTTGTAAGTTGACCTTTCTCTTCCCCTCCCATTCTCTCCCTGCCAAAGCAATGATATCCTTGCCTTTTATGGCAGGGTTATTTGGGCATGCAGTAAAATAAAAACAAATAACAAGGGCAAAACAGGTCTGTTCAATTGATTTAATTATATATTTCTAATTGAACCTCCTCATTTCCCATGAATGTATGCAACAGCTTCCTTTCACCTTGTTTCTGTGCAATGATGCTTCAGAAACACTGTGCCTGCTCACAACACATGGTTACAAAGTGGCACTGCTGCCTATGTGTAGGGGCATGCATGAGGATTTCTCTTGCATTAGGAGAACAGCAGGGGTGACTTCATTTTAGGCTGCTCAAATTCCCTCAGAGTCCTCTAAATCCTTCTCCCACAGGTCATCTCTGACCTGGGAACAGGCAGGGTGAGGGGCAGTGGTGAGGCTATGATGTGAGGTTCATCCAACACTCAGTGGGAGTGTTTGGACACTAATGGCTGTTTCTGTAGGAGGAGAAGTGATCTTGGTCAGGCTTTCCCTCAACCATCACCAGTTCTTACCTTGTGATGGTGAAGAGAATACACTGGCCAGGGGGGCTGTTAGTTACATTTTGATTTCTCATGTCCTCTTGCACCACCAGCAGGATTTCCCCCATCCTGATGCAGCAGGAATTTTGTGGAAAATTACTTATGTACAACTTGGGCATCTTCATACAGGAGGAGGAAGAGGAGGTTAGATTGCCAAGAAAATTGTTCCAGATTGCCATAGATACTCTCACTTGAAGTGTGTAGCCAAACAAGAAATACTGAGCACTGGGGGTTTTCTGGGCATTTGGTTTTTATTACAGCACAGTCCTGCACAGCTGTTTCCTGTAATTCCCTGTTAAAATATCATACCTTGCAGCTGCTCGCTACTATTTCTCAAAACAGACGTCTGTGTAGATCTCTGTAGCTATGGATTGGCCACATAAAACAGCTCCTGTGCTGGCCTTGAGTGACTCTTAAAATTAAGAGAGCACTGAAGTGCCACAGTTCGAATACATGTAAATGGTGTACTGGTGCAGACCAGTGTTTTTCAGAGCTGGTGTCCTCTAGAGCTAACCTGCTTGTTTTTCCCAATTCAAGTACTTAGCTTGTTAACAAGTAGAAGAGCAAGAAATTTGTCAAAATGCTTCATTGCTTGCTTACAGCAGAAAAGTGACCATTTTGGCTAAAAGATTCTGAGTTGCTTCCTCTCCACACACTAGTATTAAGATCTTTTTTATCTGCTTCTTCCTCTACAGAGAGCACCAAGTATAAAACCAGCAACCTCTTGTTACCTACTTTCAAGTTCAGGGCGTGAAGAATTAACTAAACATTTGTTTTGACACTATAAAGGAGCTGGGGCATATTTATGCTTCCTACTTACAGCGTGGAAAGCATGTGACACACAGAACAAGGCCTTAGAGCTGTTTGCTCAAATAATGCTGGAAGGCACAGTAAATGAAGTTACAGGAATACACTTGTAATGCACTTCTGGGCCTGGTTTTCCTTCCTCAGCTGGAGAACATTTTTTAGGCCACGCTTCAGTTTCTCCATTGATAAAATGTAAAGGATGTTTTCCACTGTCCTTTCCAATATACCATTTGAATGCCAGTAAAAATACCAAATTTAACACAAATTAGATTACGCTGCACAACTCCTTTCATCATCTCTTGTGATGTTTTCACTGGGTGTTAGGCAGCAACCCTCAGTTCTTTCTTTTTTTTTCTCTTGGCTTGCTTAGGACTTCTAAAATAGTTTCAGGCCAGCATTGGGCTCCATGGGTTTGTTGGCATAGCTGTGTGAGCTTGGATTTTGAACTGCCCTCTCCCAGCCAAGGCTGCTGGGCTGGAACTGCAGTCTGGGTGCAGCTCTGTTGGCAGATGCATGTAAATTTGGAGGTGGCATTCTCTCCTCTTTTTTGTCAACTGCCTGCATTGCCTTTGAAACAAGTAGTGTGTTTCCAGTCTGCTTCTAGCCATGTGTATGCTACAGATAAAGAAAATGCTGTGCTGACATCAACTGAAATATTTATGTATGCGTGTGGTCAGAATAAAGTGGGGAGATTTTTCCTTTAGCTGAGTTGCACTTTGGGAAGCAGGCAGTGATGAAACACAGCGATAAATATGGACCAAATAATTTTGAATTGTTTATCGTAGTTAATGAATATCAAAGTTGGCATGTGTAGGTTATAAAGAGGATGTTTCTGTCTGTTTGGTTTTCTGGAGGGTTATTTTCTCAATTTCACATACAATGCTGAGAAACAGGATGACCTGAATTTTTACTGTCCAGTGTGATAGATAGTACAAAGCTTCTGCTAAGGGCTCTAGATGCTGACAGTGAGAGGTCTTCTCATCTGACATGCCAGCAGTAAAGAAGGTTACTGGGGCACTGGAAAGCTGATTTTACCCAGCTGCGTTCCCAGTCAGATACTAGGCTGCTCCCATGATTTCCATAGATGGCATAATCACATTTCCCTGTGTATTAGACAAAAATGGGTCTTGAAATCAGTCCACATTGTTACCAAAGCAAAAAGTATGTCCATGTTTGGTTTTTCCTCCAGTGGATTGCCCCCCCAGTCACAACTCTGATAATCCATGACCAGGAATATTTTGTACTGCTATTTGTTGCTACTTGCACACAAAGAATTGCTTTGGTTTGCAAAGGTGTGACCTCATCATGCTCTTGAAACTGGAGTTTCTGAAAGACAGAAGAGATTTTCCTACTGGAAGTTGAAATATGACATATATGACTTATTTCTAACTCTGCAAGACTTGAGGTTTTAGGAAAAGAGGATTTGCCCCATTCAGCAGAATATTATGAAGCTCCAGGTCAATAGGTTGGAAGGATGGATGCATTGATTTGAATCATTTTGAGGTTACTGGTTTGACAGAAAAGGTGTTATTTTAATGCTTATATTACTTTATTTTGCAAACTTAAGCGTCTTTTTATTTGTTTTCTGTTATTTCCCACAGAAACGTTCCAGAGGTCAAGTGCTATTTGATAAAGTGTGTGAGCATCTGAACCTTTTGGAAAAAGACTACTTTGGGCTAACATACAGAGACACAGAAAACCAAAAGGTAACCCACAAAAATGCAGGTGGCCTTTGGCATGTGAACATCAGAATTCCCTGAGACACTCCCCAGACAGCTGCAAACAATCCAGAAGTTGTTTTTATCTTCCTTGTCAAGTTCCATATACACAGTTTGATCAATTGGTTTTTTGTGACTCTACTCCTCAGGATCATCTCCTGTGCTTCCCTGGGTTCCCTCCCTTTCAGCAATTTATGACATAGAAAATATTAATCATATAGCTGATGCTCTTTCTAGTATGATTTATTCCTTTACTGTCAAGATGAAAGTCAGATTTACGCTTATAGATACACTGCAAAACACATAATACTAAAATATGGCTTAATAATAGTGATTGGGACACAAATAGGCAGGAGATGTCTGACTCTTCCTGCTAACTGCCAAGATAAGGGAAGGCTTTAAGCCTTAACTTTATCTTAGCATTATTGTTGATTTGACTAAGGACATTAGTCTTCAGAAGCAGTTGGTAGCAACAGTGAATCACATTCTGCTGTCCTGCATTCCAGCTTCCATATGAAACAAGCTGTGTATTACAAGTGTTGAAGATGATCTAATGTGAAGGTGTTTGGGACATGGTACCATAAAAGAGAGAGTATCAAAGGATAATTTAAAATATGTTGTGCTATTTTGGCATTTTAAGATAAATATTTTGACAGAAACCATTACAAAACTTCTTAGCAGTATGCACAGTAGCTCAGCAGAGCTCATCAGCTGAGGGTATTTTGTGCTTTGCGTGGCCTGAAAGGTCTTCCATGATGGAGCTGGAGCTTCTACTACTTTTTTCGCTGTTTATGTCTTGTGGGAGCAACAGTTGTGTTTTCTAGGCTTCCTTTTGTTTCAAATATATATGATATTAAATAAATCAGTCTTTTTGTTTACTTTTCCCCCTTTCTTTACAGGCTTCTTTGTTTCTAATTCAGAAAATCACTTAACTAGATACTTGGTCCTTGCCACCACAAGATAATGCCCTAGCATGTGCTTAGTTTTGAGTTTTGAAAAAAGCTAGGCAGAAATCTAAGTGCATTTTCAGATAGTTATGCTTTCCTATGGGAAAGAGAAGCATGGATTCATTATTAGCACATGGTTTAGAAGCACTAAATATTTATAGGTCACCGGTTACTTTACAGAGCTGAACAGTTAAACGAACAACTGCCTGCCACCCCTTTTATTGATCAATAACATGCATATTTTTAATGTCAAAGTACTTAGCAATTCATCACCATCCTCTGGCACATAACTTCCAGCCAGACAACATATGTGCCCACATCCCATGTCATCTTTGTAAACAGAAACCCTAATGTGTCTTTAATTTCTTGGTGCATAATGTGCTTTTGTGCTCAGCAATAGCTGGAGATCTTCAGGCTCAGGTTTTGCACCACAGAGCAGGTTTGGACAGCTGCAAACTGGTTGTTTTTGTTGGGGAGGGATTGTTGTGTTCTGCTTGTTTGGTATTTCTTTAGTGTTTTATTGTCTCTCTGATACATTTGTTTATCTTTCTTTGGAGAAAGTGGAACTTTCCTGGGGAAAGCGAACTTTTTGTTCTGGGCTCTGACGCATTTTAAATATTAATTTGATTCTCTTAGAGGTCAAGACAGCAGAGGCACTGAGACCCCAAGCTGCTGTGTGCCTCCTCCAGAGGGATTTCATCTGCTTCTTGGAATCTCTGGAGTACTAACACATCACTGGGATAATTCTCCACCTCCCCAGCAGGGGTTTTGTCTTGCATAGTCATGGGGCTCTGCATAGTGTGGATGGGGGCAGAGGTGCTGTGGTTCTGCCTCTTATTTTCCCTGGAGAGCCCCTCATGCCCATGCTGCATTGCAAACATCCCTACTCTGCACTTGCTTATTGTCTGCCAAGTCTTTTCCACCTTTCCAGGATTGGAGGGGGAAAAATCAGTCAAAAACACCTCTTTATAACAAGCTTACAGAAATTCAGTTTTCCCTGAAGATACTCTGCAAAAAGATCTCTGTGGGCTCATTTTACCAATTCCTATTTTTTATTCTTTATTTCAAATCATTCAGGCCCTCAAAGTCTGTGAAGGTTAATAAAAATCTTGTTTCTACCCAGGACCACATCTTGAAAGTTAGTGTTAGCCCTGCCTACTGCTACTCCAAGGAGAAAGGAGTGGCAGAGCTTCACATGTTCTAGCTTTGACTCATAGCACTGTTTTAAAAATAACGTTTATTGTGTTTTCTAATTCAAATTGAAAAAAGGAAACATTTTCTTTGCAGAATTGGTTGGACCCTGCCAAGGAAATCAAGAAGCAGATCCGAAGTAAGTTTGTTATCGTTGCCCCTTCTACGTGTCTCCCCATGGGGACAAAACGTATTTCCAGTCATCTCTTGTATCCTGTCCCCAGTCTTTAGCAAAGGAATTATGTACATCCTTTAGATTTTTTTATGCTAGGATGATGGTGGAGCATTACTGATGCTCGTAACACATGAACTTGTGTTGCTGAAAACAACTTGACATTTGCAGTGATGCAAAATCCTGAAGTTTGACATTAAGCAATGTAACCTTAGGGACTAGGCCATGTATTTGAATTATTTCTTGCATTACTGATATTTATATCATATACAGAAGCACTGTTCATGCCCCATATTGAAATAATTCACTGACGCAAAATATTACTCTATCTAAAATATCTTTTCTTTCTTCATTTCAGAAGATTGATCTCTCTTCCAAAAATGACCATGAATTTTCTAATTCAAAATAATCTTTTTAAAAGCTCAATTGTTATAACTAAGCATCTAGTTAAAAACTTAGTATAAGTTTCTACTAAAAGCAAAAATCTATATTCTAAATCTATATTTCTATTTCACTTTGGGGCTTCATGTATTGGAAATTCAAAAACTGCTCAAAGGAAAACCTTTCTGAGACTGTGGGGTTCAAAACTTGACTTGCATTTTTTTACTTCCCCTCACTTTTAAAAATTTACAAAATGCCTATGTGTATGACTTCTGTGGGCAGAAAAGCCCCAGTAATATTTTTTTTCTTTGCACATTTTGTAAATGACCTCTTCTAGCACTTTTGCTTCCACAAACAAATGTATCTGGTAGTTCACATTAATTGGGTAAAGCCTGGCAAAGAAATCCCTTCCTTTTCCAAGATTAAAAGGGTTAATTTACACTGGTGGGAAAATTTCCCCACTTACTATGAACAACTTCCCCTTTCCTCCAGTATTATTTTCATTACAAGTAAGTGATCTGCAAAACAAGTAATGCAGATGTGCCTTTTTTAAGTCTCATGAAGGAATGGATCTGGAGAGGAAGGTGCTTTAGACCACAATGAGTCAGTTTACACAGATGGTAAATACAAGTAAAGCAGCTCAGCTCTCCACCACATATTTGAAATGCATTTAATATGTACCCAAGCCACGAAATAGACAATGAAAGGTTGTGACAGTGGGAGATTAAGCAGGGCAGAAGAGTCTCATCCTGGACTTGAGGCAGTGGACAGTTGTGTTTGCAGAAAATTACAGTAATAATTTGCTTTCTCTCTACAATTCATCCCAGAAGTTTGGAACAGGCCAACAGTGGAAAAGTAGTGCTGTTACCCATAATGCTTTCCAAAGCATATATATACTCCTGCTAAACTGGCTGAGTTGTACAACGTGCAGACCACACTGCTGGGACTTCATCCCAGTGGTTGAGAATGGTTCACATCCCATTAGTTATAACCCACTAACTTGCACAGTGTTAGGTTTTATTCCAACCCTGTAAATATGGGATGAAGACTGCTTAACCATCTGTGCTATTATGATAGGCTTTATCATAGGTTTGATTTATTTTTTGTGCCAAGAAATAGATTTACAGGCCATGGTCCCTTCCATCTGTTGTGGAACCAGGTGTCGCCTCTGGCTGCATTCCCACCTTGGGGATGGTCTACTCTCTGCTGGGACCATGCCCCATCCTCGCTTCCAGCCAAATCTTCCTTTCACTGTCTTTCCAAGAAAATGGAAAAGTTCCTAGAATCAAGGACTCCAAAAATCTTGCCAAGAGCTGAACTCCTGATGGTTAACATAAAAACTCTTCTTGCATATTCATAGAATCATTGAATTGTTTGGATTGGATGGGACCTTAAAGACCACCTAATTTCAACCCCTGCCATGGGCAGGGACACCTCCCACTAAACCAGGCTGCTCAAAGCCCCATCCAGCCTGGCCTTGAACATCTGAGATTAGATGTGTGGATAACCAAAGTGGATGGTACCTCCCATGGGATAAAATTTCCTTGTTGCTTGTAGGAACAGTGTGGTTTGGGGTTTTGTTATTGCTTTTCATTTGCATTCAAGTCATGTGCTAGTGTAACCTAACCCTTTTTTTTCAGAACAGCTTCTAAATTTACCTACTATGTTCAACTCTATTTTTAAATCTTGATATTAATTTTTTTTACAACATTTAAAGCTAACACTCCAGAAATAATTTTGCCGAGATACAAACCAGTATCCATCCCATGGGTCAACTAAATTTAGTGAAATAAAATTAAATAAGAATTCCCCAGTGCTATGTACTTTTGCAGTCATACTCTCTGTTTGTCCTTGCAGTTTTGTCTGCACAATAATTTATGTCTGCTGAAGAAAGGAGCTATGTGCTGAGGCAGCACTCTGAGAGGATGCTGTGAGCTGATTTGGGCAGCTAGACCTCAGCACATCACCCTACTCCAGAGCCCATTCTTACTCTGGCTTGTGGTCTCTGTGCTTTGGGTTATTGGTTTTTAAAACTTGTACAGACTGTGTGGTGCTTAGTTTCAATAAAACTTGTTCTCAGACTGAGAGGTTTTTTTAGTATTAGTAATAAATTACTGCTCACTCAGAGTCCTCACTTCAGTGAAAATCCTGCTAAATAAGAAAAGAGCTGTAAAATCTGATCTAATACAGTATCTTCAGTATGATGTATGGGAAAAATATTCTAAAACCTGTTCTTATTAATTGCTTGTCTGGGATATTTTTAAGTTTGCTGGTGATTGAGTAGCATGAACATCTCTGTTTGCATTTGCAGTGTACTTTCAGTCAATCTATGTTTTTTTCCAGGTGGTGCTTGGCAGTTTGCATTTAATGTGAAATTCTACCCTCCAGACCCTGCCCAGCTATCTGAGGACATTACCAGGTGTTTTAAACATTAAATACCTTTTAAGAAGTGGCTTAAAAGCTGGTTCTGGTAGCACTTACACTCTAATTATACAAAAAAAGAAATGTTTTATATTCCAATTGTCTCTGTTTTTCATATGAGCTTATGGAAAATATGCAATACTTTGACAAAAAAGATCGTGTGAACAATGTCTATCCTCTGTGTTATGAAGTATTTTGTGTAGTTTAAGCCTAATCCCCAGATTTTTCAGTATGTAAATTCATTTGAGTTGATTTTAATATTCACAAAGATGCCTGATGCCCATTTTGGCCAGTAGTAACAAGTTATTACTGTAAGTAAAATCATGACTATGAAAGAAGTGAGATAATGTTGTGGTTTGGTGACCACACTGAATCCAAAACAGAGCAAGCACTGTACCAGCTACTTAGGGAAAAAATGAATTCTTTCCCAGCTGAAGCCAGGATATGTGAGAATAAGCATGCCTATGCAAATTTTGTGTATCATTTGACAAAGTAAGTGATCAGTGTGCATGGAATAGAGAATATGGTGGTAATTAATAGCTGCTCCCTCCTCTGCAAGTCACTCAGCTCTGCACTCTACACTTCTACTCTGGTTTTGTATTCACATTGCAACCACAACAAAAAAACCCAAAACTTCACCTAATTTCCTCCTTGAAAGGAGGCACAAAAGTTTTGATACGTGATGAGTTTTTGTGCCATCAGCAAACTGTTCCTCAGCCTGCTGCAACATTTGGTAACCTTTGAATATTTTGAACCTTCAGTGTTTTATGGACTACTTGGTGCTTTTAAGGTAGCATGAAGCCTTTGGCCTTGATCAGGGTCCCCTGTGGAAGGTACTGTGAATGAAGACAGTGTGCCAAGAGTTCACAATTGAACAGGGGACTTCCAAAGGAAAGGATTGCTTTACTCCTCTTCAGACTCCTAAATTTCCCATGGGAGTTCTGCCTTTGCCACCAAATCAATGCTTTTCACTTTTTTTTTGTTTTCATGTATCTGGTGAAACCATCCACTGCATATTTCTGTGGTTTTAACAGCACTTGCTGTTTAAATGTATTTTTGAGAAAATACAACATGCTGCTAAAGAGACAGTTTATGTTTTTTGAAAGAATTGGTGTTCTCCTATTCTTAAATGAACACTATATGAGAGATTTAATTATTTTTTTCTCCTGAAAGAATTATCAAGTAGTTTTATATGTAAGTGATTTATGATAGAAATCTAGTATGTTTAATGGGTATTTCTTCATCTAGCTCACTAAACAAAGTAATAACTTTATTTGGAGGTCTCCATGCTGCTGTATAAAGATAAATTAGGTGTTCCTACTGATAAATTAGGCATTAGGCAAGAGCTTGGGGTTTTGGGAGTTCTGGGATTGTTTTACAAAATTATCATTGTCCTTGTGAGTGGCCGAAGATCTCTGGCCTTGGCTGTCTGCAAATGCCTGTTGGATCCGAGGCCTCTTTCCAGTGCTCGGGCGGTGCTTCTTTGGGGGCAGCGGTGCAGGAGCCCTGTCTGAGCTGCTTTGGTGCTCCCTTGCAGGTACTACCTCTGCCTGCAGCTGAGAGATGACATCGTTTCGGGCCGGCTGCCCTGCTCCTTCGTCACGCTGGCCCTGCTGGGCTCCTACACCGTGCAGTCGGAGCTCGGCGACTACGACCCCGATGAGTATGGCAGCGACTACATCAGCGAGTTCCGCTTCGCGCCCAACCACACTAAAGAGCTGGAGGACAAAGTGATCGAGCTGCACAAGAGCCACAGGTAAGCACAGGGCATCAGTGTGAGCTCCAGCCTGCTTCAGGTACCATCTTGGTGCTTCAGGAGATGTTAAATTCTGCAGTGGTGTACTTAAGGTTTTTCTGGCAAGGCTCCTCTGCGTGTCTTTGGATAGAGAAGAGCTTTGCAACATGTGAGTTAACAGGGTCTGCACTAGAGCTGTCACTCTGGTAGGTACCCAGCTACATAAGGGGTAAAACTATAGTTCTGACAGGCTGAAAATGTTTTCCAGCTGCTGGGTTTTCTTTTGGATTCTGTTTCCTTAACATTTATGCTAGAACTGGTTACTTTTCCACAGGGGAATGACACCTGCAGAAGCTGAGATGCATTTCCTGGAGAATGCCAAAAAACTATCAATGTATGGAGTAGATCTCCATCATGCCAAGGTATGTACTTTGGTTCTTTCACTGGCCATAGTGAAAGACATATGCCACGCTCCTGTGGCATAGTACTTGGATCTGCATAGGTTCCCTGATTTATTTTTTCTTGTATTTTTGAGACCGGGATGAATCATGTGTCAACATGAGGAAAGGTGACTCATGAAATAAGCATAAATATATATTTTAACCATAACATAACTTATCCTATAGATTCAAAGATGTTGCACATCAACTTTCATGTTGATTAAACAAATGCTATCCTTGAGGAAAATACTGAGTGGATGAGTTGATGAGAGAGAATTTTAGAAGCTGTCCAGAGAGTGGAGAATTTTCTTTTCATTCAGCTACATTTTCCAGTTTAGTAAGGCCAACCACGCTATGTTAACTGGATAGCAGATCATTTTTATGCTGCAAAGGACTTTAAGCAATTATTTAGCTGTGCTGGAAAACTAATCAGATTGATGATAATGGGGAGAGAGCAGCTTGTCTCTTTCCTGAAGTGTGGTTGTTGCGGTTGACAGGGAGGGCAGTAATTCTCCTGGAAACATTCTCCCATGATCAAGTAGTTTCTCTAATCATCAGCAGGCTAAGTTATGAATAAAACATGGTCATTCATACTGTGGCTGGAGAGAGTCACTTATTAGCCTTGTATTGGTTGTCGAATTTTTGGTTTTAAGGTTTTTTTTCCCAAATAAATAATTACTATTGTTTTCTTCACTCTCAGAGTAAGACTAATGGATTTTAACATTTTTGAGGTTAGCAAGCATCCTTGGCAAATGAATATGGAACCAAAGAATCCTGCCCTGTGGAGGGAACTGCATTTTCTGTAAAGGTCAAGTTATTGTGAGCTTGGCTTTTTGCTGCAGCAGCTCCTTTCAAGAATTGAGATAAATTTGCAGCTTGGATTTTGAAAGAGCCTGCAACCGTGTCCCTGGGGCATTTCATAGGAGCTGTACATGTGTGTTACAGAATTCAAGGCAATCTTTTGTGTTCTGTTAATTGCCTTCACTGAAAATGAAGAATCTGTGTACAGCTCAATGGGCAACATCTACCAGGAGGGATGCCACTGCCTTCCCTGTATCCTGCAGATACACACACTGTCTTGAGGCACATTTGGAGCAGAGAGAAATGGATTGGCAAATGTCACAATGCAAAGAAGTCCAAAAACCAGTAACTAAATGGATTACTATTTTAAAAAAGTAACAGGCTTTGTTACTGAAAATTTTACATAACATAACATTAAGGCCTAAGTGTTTTTTCAGAATATTGTAGAAAAGCTGTGTTATCATATAATATCCCATTTTAAGATGGAATATTATAAGATAACCATTTTATTTATTCTTTCCTGAAAAAGTATTAGTATCCTGTTTGCTCTTTTTTTTTTTTCATATTGAAAGACTCAGAGAAAAGTAGAAAAAGTAGAAAAGCTAATCTCTCTCCAAACTGATGCTCTTTATTTTAAAAAGCTGCAGTGATAACCAAGATGTGCCTGTCTGTGGGTTAAGGAACCCCACAGTCATCTTGAAACCTGAACTGAAGGTGGGAAAAGTAGACTCTGCGTAAAAAGTCATGTTTAGTTTTAATTAAGTCTGCCAGTGAGATTTGATGATGTCAGGCTAGGGAACAAGTATCTCTGTGCATGTCTTTTGGAAGTCATGCCACAGCAAATGTCTCTATGTAAATGTCAATTCATTAAGGTTGTGCCAATATCTTTAGTGTTGGACTCACCAGCTCAGATTAAAACTAGTTCTCAGTTATCAAATGCAAGGCTGTGATGAAAAATATGTTCAAATAGACAGACTTGTCCTCTGGGCTGTCACCATTCTGAGGAAGGCCACCCCATCTGTATGCAGAGCTAGAGGGATGTGCCTCGGACATTACAGCTAACAGGTTCCTGTCCCATGTAACCACATGGCTCCTGAAAATAGCCCAATTCTTTTATTCCTTTTATTTTACACTAGAAGTAGCATATTGGAAAACAGTCTCTGACACCAACAAGTAACAGAAGTCTTGAATAAACTTAGATTTGTGGTGAAGATGGAGATAAGGAAAGAAGGTATTTCTCAACAATTTTTGAGAAAGTGTATAAAAAGAAGTCCCTTGCACCTGCAGAAACATGCCATGTATGAGCACACTTGCATTTCAGACATTCACCAGGTGGTGTGATTACTGCAGTGAGACTTTTTATTTCAGAATGTGTTCAGTGTATTTAGATATTGCTCTTTGCTTAGGAAAGTGAAACTGAAGTACATTGAAAAAATTAGCTTTGTCTTTTCTGTAGTGCCTGATGGTGATACCACACATGAGCTGTATTTAGAAAAAAATCTATCTTTAAGTGGTGATACCATCGTTGTTGGAACATATGTCCTCTATTGATGTGTTTTCTAACACTGGAGTGACTTCGTGGCACTATTTCTGTGTTGTGATTTTAAAACCTTTTTTTTCATTTCAAGCTGTGCCATTGCTGTTTCATCATGACTGACCATGCATACCATTGTGTTGGTCTTGAAGTGTAATCAGATTTTCACCAAGTGCCTAAAAGATGGCTGGTTGGGAAAACTAGAGGAATATGATGAATTCCTATCATGATTATCATAGGGTAACATCTCCATAGCTTCTGCAATCAGGTTTTTGTGACTTTAGGTTATTTAAAAACAATTTACGAAGAACTCAGTACTTTGAAGGGGATTCTTCTTTTCTCTATCAGTACTAGTACTTTAGCTAAATGAAAAAACAGTGATAGAAGATAGTGAAAATTGGTTTTAGACTATTTGAAGACTTCTAAAGGAAAGAAAAATCTATATTTGTTTCTTAAAAAAAAATATATATGGGTATGTTCTGACAAGATTGTGGACAGATCTTTTGTGTAGTGCTCTTGTGTCTGAGCTACAGCCTCCTGGCAAACATAGGTTATAGCACAGTCACAGTCACACACTTTTAAAAAAGAATCCTTTCTGGTCCAAATGCCCAACTTTATGCCCACTGGGCATTTCAAAGTGAAAATACTGAGCAAAGACATAAAAGCATTAAAGAAATTAGCAAACTTTCTAAAGCCACATACTAAAGGTGAGCAAACTACAGAAGAAAAATTTATCTAAGGATTCACAAGGCTTAGTCATGGAGATGAGTGATACCAGGAGAAGTAAATTTTTATGCTGTCATACCTACTTTCAATCTGGTATTTATGCTAATAACACTTTTTTTATTATGCTAATAAAGCTTTGCTATATGATTGATGTATTTCTTTTAATGGCATCTAAAATTTTCCTCCTCCTTTTGGAGTCTTTGTTAAATATAAGGAAACATTGGAAACCCTCAGTTTCCTTCACCCTGCCCAACCTTACTATTATTTGCATGAGTGCATTCAGTGAGGAGGGTAACGCTCAGAAATCAGGTCACTACAGCTGATGCATTAAAAAGACGTAGCTCAGATAGAAACACAGGATACAGGAATCTGTAGTACTGTAGGATGCAAGGATAGAAATACTCAACAAAGTTCATTGCTTGCTATTCCAGGATTCTGAAGGAGTGGAAATCATGCTAGGAGTCTGTGCAAGTGGACTCTTGATATATCGAGACAGACTCAGAATAAATAGATTTGCCTGGCCAAAGGTTTTGAAAATTTCCTACAAGAGGAACAACTTCTACATCAAAATCCGACCAGGGGAGGTAAGGGCATCCTGGTTCTCTTAAGTGGATGAGCCTCTTGAGAAAACATATGTTTTTACTGATTTGTTGATTTGTTTTGTCTTATAAGCTTTTAACACTCCTCTCCATTTATATTTCCTAATTTATGCTGATCTTCCTAGGAAGGGTTAGGTACACACTTTCTTTAATATGCCGGTAAAAAACAACTTTGGTGTTTTTCTGTTTACATCCATGAACTAATGTAAGGAATAAATATGGCCATCTGCACATAAAAAGCTCATCCATATCATGAATACTTTCGGCATTTAAGTAGCATATTGCTTATTCATGGAGAGCTTGTTATCCTCCCTCATGCTGTACATGCAACTGGCATTTATCTCAGCCACTAAGAGATGCAGACAGGCCATACCAACCTTTATAAACATATCAGACCAGTATATTTGCAGCATTTTGGGTAACTGCACACATTAGCCCTCCCAGGCCCGCAGGAGCTCCTGTTCTGGCTCTGGGGAAGGGGATGTGAAACCTCGTACAGTGAGTGCCCTCTCGTGGCTCAGCCGGATGCAAAGCAAGTACCGACCTCAAGGGCTGAGCATTCACTCTCCCAGAAATCATGGATATCATGGAAGGGTTTGGGTTGGAAGGGACCTTAATGATCATCTAGTCCCAACCCCCCCACCGTGGGCATGGATGCCATCCACTAGACCAGGTTTTCCTAAGCTCCATCCAACCTGGCCTATAAGATGATAACTCTTGAGAAATTCAGGGTCATCACAGGCGAAGGAGGATTTCCATTTTAAATGCTGGTACAATAATTGGCCTGTGATAGATGAAATCCCCATATCCATTTAGAGTGTGGAGCTGTACAGCAGGACAGAAATCACTTAGATGAGGACTGGCATTTCTGCCTTAATGCAGCCAGTGTCTCTGGGACTGACTTCATAATTGATCTGGGAAACTTGCTGGGGCTCCCTACCCCTGAGCCTGAGTCTTTTTTAGAGTCTTAAACCAAAATCCACAAACCTACATCTCCTGCCCGTCAGCAGACACAGTTTTATTAACCAAATTTCTAGCCTTGAATTTGATTTTAAGAACCCAAACAAATAGTCATTGGCATTCCCAATGCCTGCACTGAAGCTCTGCACCATGGCTACCCTGTTGAGCTCTGCTGGTCTTGGTATAGAGTATCCTGTGACCAGGCCATAGTTCCATGTGTAAAATAGTTCCATAGTTCCATAATCAATGCAGCCTCTGTCCAAATTACATTTGATGATAATGTGATTCACTAACTCACGTCATCTTTATTATTTTGTTATTTCCTGCCTTATTTCCCTGTCAGCTTCCATAGGGATCCAGACTTCCTTGCAAGTGCCTTTCTGTCTACCTTTCCCCCATCACAGCAACTCTGTTTTACCTACTCAGCTATCTGCATGTAGCCACCAACATGTTACAGCAGATATAGCTGGCACAGCTTCTGCATCTGAAATATATATAAATTTGCAGTACAATCTAAAGAGGTCTGTTTTTATCTATGGACAACTCTTTTCAATTACCTGTCTTGCCTCATCCTCCTCAGATGAATTAACTCTAACCAATGTGATTTACTAACAGTAGTACTTTCTCTGTAAATATCCTTAATCTAAGGCTGTGTGAGACCAAATCAATCCCTAAGGACTATTGCTCACCTCCAGCTATTACTAGGCTTCCCACTGTAGTTATAACTAGTGAAATTAAATCAACAGGATAAAACACTTGAATGATGTTTTCTCAGAAGTCTCCCAAGTCTTAACTGAACTCTTTGTTACTATAGGGTACAAAACATCACTGTCACCATAAGAAATCTCTTGCTCATTACTAGTGTTTCCCCCCAGAAATGATCCTCAAAGGTTGCCATAGATTATCATTTACAGCTTCTTTCCCAGAATTCTTTCTGTAGAATATGGATATATGTGGTTATGTACATGAGCATATACATTTGCCCTTGCAATGAGGTGATACAGATGGAGGAAATGGAGATAAACCTGTGTACACTGTCTAAAAATAGATGCACAGCATCAAAAACATACTTATTCTTTTTTCCTACCTAGTTTGAGCAGTTTGAAAGCACTATTGGGTTTAAGTTGCCAAATCATCGTGCTGCAAAGCGCTTATGGAAAGTGTGTGTTGAACACCATACATTTTTCAGGTATGTGGATTTCTTTTCCTAAAGGTGTGATGTAAAATGCGACAGAAAATACCGATTTTGTCAGCAGAGACTAAGCCCTTCAAATCAAATTTTCTTTTTGATCATGAGGTACCTCTGAGCAGATAAAGGAACATACTTGCTTTTTCAAAATTTGAGATGTTGCACCCAAATTATTCATACTATTTCAGATACATAGTGCTTAAAATCACCATATGGTCCTAATTAATCACTTTGCTTTATCTGTGCCATGATATTATCAGCTGCTATAATTAAAGAGATGAAGGACTCTGCTGCATTACTGCATATAAGCTTGCATAGAGAGAGCAACTTATATGGGAGATTGCTGGGGGATGTGGGAAAGAGTTTAAAAAAGAAGATTTTTTTTTTAAATTATATATGAAAGTACAGACAGTAGTAGGTCATGGGTTTTTTTGGTCACCCAGAATACACAACCCATAGGTGTAATTTTTGGATTACTAAGGAGTTTTGCAGCTATTTTTTTGACTTCTAGGAAGATTGGAGAAAAATGTGGAATAGTGAAATAAGTGCTGTAATTAGTTTGTGCTAAGAACATCACTAAACAGATACTTAAAAAAGGAAACCCAAAAGGGTGAAATTTTCAACAGTTTGAAAGGATGTCCAGTGCTTAAGAACCCCCTCTGGGGAATGTTTGGGAGTACTGAAGAATTTCCCTCCTTTCTTAAAACCGTTGGTTCAGGCTGTCTGTACATTCATATGAAATGCAATCTTAGCAGCAAAAGATCCAAAGAGAAATGAGTGTGCATTTTTGGGGTATTTTCTGATTTTTAATGAAAAATAAATGTCTGAAGCCTAGACTCCATAGCAGGAGAATGACTTCTTCAGCCAGCTGCCATGTCCAAATTACCGAGGGTGGGAGAGCTCTAACCTGAAAAATGTCTACACCCCTGTGAATGAATACTGCCTGTCATTCACTGGAAATCAGTTCTGGCCTTGTCCTCAGCATAACATCACCATGTTAAATTTTAAGAGATACATCTGCATTTCAGCCCAGTCGGGCCTCTGGTACAAGGAACACCTTCTTTTCAGTTTTGGTAATCAGAAAATAGTAAATTTCATTTTCAAGCATGTAGGAACTGAGTGATTCTTGCCCATTTGGAAGAATTCAGATCTTCAAATGCTTTAGCTAAGTGATTTTGTCATGCTGTATGAGGGGCATCCTTTAGATTCCCTTTTAGCCACAGACCGCTGAGGCACAGGTTACGATGGAGAGCGATACCCAGCAGTCGTCTTCTCTCCTCTGCAGAAACTGATCCGTGGGCTGATTTTGGAGGAGGGGGAATAACAGGTGCACTTCTTGGTGTGTTTTAGGCTCCTGCTGCCAGAAGCACCTCCAAAGAAGTTCCTCACGTTGGGCTCCAAGTTTCGCTACAGCGGCCGGACGCAGGCGCAGACAAGAAGAGCCAGCGCTCTCATAGACCGCCCTGCCCCTTACTTTGAGCGCTCCTCCAGTAAACGTTACACCATGTCTCGCAGCTTGGATGGGGGTAAGGGCCTCTCAACTGACCTTATCAAACATTATCATCACAATGGTCACTGCTTTAGATTAGGTGTAAAGCTCATCGTCTCCTCTCCTTGATATTTGGCTGAGTAGAGGCTGTGAGTACCTGCACGTTTGCTGCAGGGGTAGAGGAGGAGGATGCAGAGAAATTCTGTGCTGAATGCACCTCTGTGGTCCTTACAAAGTGTTTGGCTGGAAGATGTCCTTTGGAGCCCACTCTCCACAGAGCCTCTGTCCTTGGCCTCATATCTGCTTCCCTGATTTGGGGAAGGATGGGATGGACTTGCCTGCCCAAGAATGTCAGGCTTTAACACTTTTAACACAGAGTTTGCATGAGTGACTGTTTGGATTTTGGTTGAATCTGAGATTTTCTTGTGTGTAGGTTTTTCACTTAAGTTGTTACAATCCAGAATTTTTTTTCCCCCTTGAGTAATAACCCTTGATTCCAATTACCTCATATCCTACTCCAATGAGCACTAAGAGAATTTTTTCATACATTATTTTCGAAGGTATGAAATGGAGAGTAACATACATAGGTTAATAGTACATCCTTCCTCTCTTTATCCTTGCTTCATGGAGGTCATGGTTCTGCTGCTGACTTTGTTTAAATCAGTGTGTTGTTCAGAGTATCAGCTACTTCCATCAGCTGTTACTGTTGTCAGCTGTTGAGTAAAAAGAGGCTCTAGTTGTGTACTTTATTTTTGTAGGAAAAAAAGACTGAGACTAAACTCAGATTCATTACAGATTTAAAAAAAAGGTGAATTCTCTTGCAGAATATCACAAATTGCAATGACTATAGTTGGTGGTGGGGATGGGGAGAAGCTTTGATTTAAAAGTACGTGTGACAAGCCTTTTTCTCTCCCTCTAAAGGTGCTGCTTGTCATTGATTATTTTGGAATATTCTAATTCTGATGTGCTTCTTTCTCGTTACCAAGCAACTGGTGACCTGATTGCTGTGCATGTGTTTCAAAGCAGAAATTATCCTTCTGCATTATTTTGTTTGTAACATTTAAATAAGATGTCTCCCTCTACTCCCTTTGCTTTCTCCTGCCTCCTAAACTTAATCCCAAGAGACAAGATACCTGAGACACTTTACCCAGCATTTGTTAGACTCTGCAAGTTGTTAATTTGCCTAAGTGCAAATAGGGGAAAGAGGTTTTTTAAATCAATGCTTATGATCTCATCACTAGCATTGTTACTATAATGCAGATGAGTCTGTAACATTCTGCATTGTGCTTACATTGTGATCAGACTCTGTCATTTGTTACAGATGCAAGTGAGTTTATAAATTTGAATAATCCTGTTGGTTTAGAAATTATTTACTCAATAGTCAAGATCAGGGTCTGGGCATATGTTACAGTTTTGATTACATTCTGTCCATAAAGGTACTATTGCTTTCAAAATAACTTTTATATATTTAAATCTGATTAATTACTGAGCACTTGCATCCTAAAATATTCTGGTTGGGTCTGCTGAACTGAATGTCATCACATCACAGAATTTTTTAGGATAATGAGCTCACCTAAGTGGCAGACTTTAGTACTCAATAATACAAGGATCACAATTCTTTTTTCTCAGGTATTATGCCTGTGCTATATCAATACTGTCATTTTGTGTAATGCAGCACGTTACTAAATTTGCATTTGAGCTGCATTTTTATATTCTGACAGATTTAAAAAAAAAAAATCTCTTCCACCCCCATGGCTGATGTCATTGCTGGTTCTCCTTATGTTTCTTGCCTGATAACTGTGGCAATGCATTGCTTTTTTTTTTATGTGTATTTTACTACAGTGCTAATTTTAACAGCTTGCTAACATTTAACAACTGTGTAATGCACACATTAGTTACAGTAATGTGTGTATACACATCCATAATATATGTATATGCATATAAAAGCTATGAGCTTCAAGTAAACAGTTTATTTAAATGTATGCACATGCTTCTGGTTTCCTGAAACATGACATAGTTGTGTTTTCAGTGTTATCTCAAATGTTTTTCTAAACCAGCTTTTTTAATTTTATGCAGCTTCTCAGCAAAAGCTATTTCAGATTTTCCCTCTTTAAATATTTGCTTTTAGCATCAGTGAATGAAAACCATGAAATGTACATGAAGGATTCTGTGTCTGCTGCAGAGGTTGGTACTGGCCAGTACGCCACAACAAAGGGCATCTCTCAGACCAACTTGATAACCACTGTGACTCCAGAGAAAAAGACAGAAGAGGACAAAGATGATGAAGAAGGCAAAAAGAAGAGAGCAGAGGAAGTCACCCCGATTTCAGCAATACGCCATGACACCAAGGTAGAATTTTCTGGGTTTTGTATTAAACAAGGCTGCCTTGAGAGTGCTTGGAGAAACACAGAATTTTTAGGGAAGGGGGAGAAAGAGGAAATAAAACTGGTTCTGTGAAAGGAAATATACTATGTGTATATACATGTCTTGGATCAGTGTTTTTGTAGTCCTTTCAGTTTTCATATGATATTGTAAAGTTTAGTTCCTGCCTTGGACTTTTTTTTTGAAATATGTTTAACAGTCAGAATGATGTTTTTCACACAGCATTCAGCAGCTCTTTAGGAAATGCCCGGAAGTAGCCTGGCGGTGCATGTTTGTTCTTCTGGTTTTCGGTCATATTTTGACTTTAGTATGGCCATCCTGGCTTTTTATTTTGGCAACAAAATAGTTCTGTATTCTTGTATGTAGCTCTGTGCTTTAAACTATTCCTCTTATACTTCTTATAACACTGTTTCCTTGCATGAATTTCAGTGGGCATTTTTTCTCTATTAACTTCTGGATATGAATCTGGTATTATAAGCAATTTTTTTTTCTGGCTTACAAAAGCATTTGCTTCCCTTGTTTGAAGTTTCTGTTGAAAAAAGCATTTTTTATTGATGGTTCTCTTATCAATTGTTAAATTTGAGTCATCCCTCATTAACTTCAATCCCAGCACCACCACCACACAGAGGACAGAGGACACACATACGCACATGGTTGTGCATAATATCTACTGAGATATTAAAACAGGGTAAACCAAACAGAAGGATGGAAAAAATAGTAAATAGAGATTGACAGTGAGTGAAGAGGAATACGGTAGAGTAGCATTTAGAAAGTGTACTGTGGAATGCACTTGTGGAATGCACTTGCTAAACAAGTAAGGTTTGCCCTCATCTTTTAGGAAGAAAAACCTTGAGAGATATATATATTTATATCCACAGAACTGTCAAATGTATGCAAATGTTAAACCTGTATTTATCATATAAGGCCACAATGAGCTACATAGCAAAAGGATCAAGTCCTCAAAAAGAGTTGCGGTTAAGGTACTGAAAACCAGAAACAAATTGAGTTACTGAAAATTGCGAATGAGAAAGATTTTCTTTTGAAAGTCTGTGCTGTATTTAAAAGCATAATCTCTACAAAATTTAAATCTCTGTATTTAAAAGATAATGTCTACAAAATTTAACTGGGGTCTTCTTGAAACTCCGTTAGTTTCCACGTGGAGAAAGAATGATGAAAATCAAATATGTAGAAAACATTCAAAAGAAGCTAGTTCTGTTATAAGTGTTTGTTAATTTAAGTCAATGGAGGGATCAGTTGTATTTTGAAGATCATCTAGCTATTCCTTATATATGGATAGAAATACTCAGAGATATTTTAGGAGACTAATTTGATGGAACTTATATATGCACAAATGATTGATTTTTACCCCCACTCAAGAGATGAGTTCTTTTTAAACCATCATAAATAGAGTTTCAGTTGTGTAATCCTACAGAGATCTCAGTCCTGCTTCGACATGGACCTGTTAACAGTTTAGTCTGTCATCATAAAGAGAATGTCTCAAGAAATACAAGCTCAAAATCAAATCCCTTCTAAGGGCATATAAATGTTTTAGGTATGTTTTCCATTAAGACATTTTGCCTTTGTTTTATCCATGTGTATTGAAGTACAGAAGTTATTCTAAATATTAACACTGTAGAGATGTCAGCAAGTGAATAGTCTGAATTAGAAAAGAACACATTTACTTTGGATTTTTGTCTTTACAGTAAAGAGAAGTTGTATTTGTGTGTGTATTTAGCTCACACAAAAACCTGTGAGTCCATGAGCATTAAGTTTTGACTTGATCTTACTACATTAAACCCATAAAGATATTTGTAAGTGGTTTGAAGCTAGGCTTGGTTCTGATTGCTTAGTTTGGGAATACAGATTCCTTGAATTGATAAATTGCTAGAGAAGAGAGAAAGGGAAATATGAAACAGGAAGAAAAGGGGTTCTTCCATGTAATTACTTGGCATTCCTACCATTAATATACCTGGTAGAGTTCAGGCTTAGTAGCAATCTGTGTCTAAAACTTGGATCTGCTTTTGGCTCCAGTTCAATACCAGCTTGAACTGGAGGCAGATACTGTTGTGGCTTTTACGTAATTTTGCTTTTGGGAGCCTAGAGTGAAAGTGAAATGGCTGTTATAGCTCCCTGGGGAGAGGTAGTATGGATGCAGCAGCTTAGGCACTTAGGGTTTGGTCATGGATCCAGTGGGCCACTTCAGCTACGTGCACTTGGGGGATTTTGGCCAAAACATCTCTGATCCATCAGCGTTGTGGCAGATGTGTTGTACTGGGTATACATTTTGGTGGTGACTGGTTTTTGTCCTTCTAAAGAGCAGTGGTTTCTGCTTGCATGGAGCATGTGAAATGACAGTCACCATTTCCACTGAATCACCTCCCTCCTCCTACCAATTTTTTGACCTCAAATGACCTGAAAGGCCAGTTGAATGCCCTACAAGTGGCATATCAAAGCAAATCCTGCTTGTTGGTAGCCAGTATTCTTGGCATTGTGGTAAAACTTGTAGGAACAGCATCAGGGGCACTTTTGCCTCTTCACTATGGGTAAAGGGTTATATTTTGGTTATGAGAAAATGTGGCTGTGTGGGGCAAGGACCTCTCTCTAGCCAGCCCCCCCCTTCAGATCCCCAGTGAGAGATCATGGGATCAGCTGAGCCTCAAGTCTCAGCTCCCTTCTTTCAATGTACGGCTGAAGAGATGGCAGCATGGAGGGGCTGGCAGGGTGCATGGCTGGGAGGGGCTGAGCCCCCAGCACTGCCTGCTTGGGCTCACAGTGAGCAGAGGTGAGGGCAGGGCTCTGGGGATGCCCAGCAGGGACCAGTGGTGGGAGCCGTGCTGAGGAACCAGCTGCTGGGATATCTGTTGAGCAGTTTTTTTTTTCCATCAGGTGCATTGATGAATGGATTTCTGCTCTCCCCACCAAACAATGTGTTTTAATTTGGTTTATGGCCTAGATTTTTTTAAAAATACTGCAATTGAGGACTTGGAGCTTTACTTATTACTGCTGAGGTTGTCCAAGGCATAGATGGGAAGCATTTGGCCCCCACCAAGTCTCCTCCTGACTGCAAGAATGCTGTCACAAGTAGTGCTGGTATTAGAAATATGTTTCCTTCTTTGTTGCTCTCCATATACTTCTTGTTTGAAAGCTTTATTGTCAGAAATCAATCTTGCAGTAAGTGGAAATTGGCAACACCTGAAACTCCCCATGTGGCCATGGAGGCTTTTATGTAAATCCTGTGCTACAGAGGACTAGACAAATGTTGAATCAAGAAGTTGCCTTTTGTAAGCTGGAAGCGTGATTCGCTAATACCTGTGGTGTGTGGCGTGGGAACATGCACCGTTCAATTCAGTGGAAAGCTGTGGTGTTAAAATACTGTTTATAATTTTAAATATATAATATATATTATTTATCATCACGGAAGAAAATTAACTAATTACAGTTTTCTTTTTGTCCTTTTGCTTTTGCGCCTTGTTTGCTGCCCTTTCTCTGTCACCAGCCATCTTTGCTTGGCACTGACTCCCACCACTCCTCACCATCCTCTCAGCCTGGCCCCCATGTATCTTCAGCAAAGCTTCGCAGGAGATGCAAGGAGAGCACTCGGACAAAGTCCTTAGGCTGTGAGGCCCCCAAAGAGAGCGCTCCAAAACACAGCGAGTCGGAGCCAGACTCTGACAGAAAGGGGCGAGTTTGCTCCGCCGAGCAAGACGTGGCTTTTGGCTACAAGCAAAAAGCCGGCAAAGGCGGAACACTGTTTTCCTTCTCCTTGCAACTTCCAGAGTCATTTCCTTCCCTCCTGGATGATGATGGCTACCTGTCGCTCCCTAACCTCTCCGAAACCAACCTCCTGCCTGCCAGTGTGCAGCACTACCTCCCCATCCGCTCCCCCTCCCTCGTGCCTTGCTTCCTCTTCATTTTTTTCTTTCTGCTCTCTGCCTCTTTCTCAGTGCCATACGCCCTCACTCTCTCCTTTCCTCTGGCTATGTGCCTCTGCTACCTGGAGCCCAAGGCGGCCTCCTTGAGTGCCTCACTTGCCAATGACCTGAGTGACAGTTCAGAGGAAGAGGTGTGTACCTCGGCATCGAACACACTCTTTTTCGTGTTCAGTGCTTCAGTCCTAACCAGTGTTAGATTGCTGCAATAGTGGTCCTACTTTCAGAGCCTCATTTCTGTCTGTGCTGATATGTTAGAAGGGATTTTTTTTTTTTTGGTTTGGGGGTTGTTGTTTTTTGTTTTAGTTATTTTTTTTTTCTTTTTTATTTTTTTCTCATGCTGGGAGTACAGCTCGGAGCCCAGGGTTAGGCACAACACTGTGTAGAAGAGTCTTGGCTTGAACTGTGTTAGTTGGTTCAACGTGACTTGCACTACATGACAAGACCTTTTTCTTCCCTCTATCAGTTTAGAATAGTTTTAGGGTTAGGATAGTTATCTAAATAGGGGGTATTAAGTATATTTCTGCATAATTACTGAACATCCAAATATATGAATATGTGTCTACATTTATGTATATGACTAGCTGCCTAACAATGATGAGCACCCTCACCAACTTCAGTATGTTCAAAGTCCAGATAGACTCAGCTTTTTGCAAAAGGCTATCAGCTGTAGCTGAACCCCAGAAAAGGCTTTCTGGTCCAGCAAAACCTGGATCTCGATTTTCAGCCTTGATCCCATCTCTGCTACAGATTGAATTGTTTTCCCATGGTTAAATCCAACTTATCAGTGAGGGGTCAGATTGGGACAGCTGTTCTGCAGCTGTTGCAGGAGCATGCCACGTGGGCTGCCTTGACATTTGCAGTGTTAGATTAGTACTGCCAAAACTGATGCCTTAAGCCACCAGGGTCATCACGGGCAGATGAACCAGTTGCAGCAGGAGTCTGCAGTGGTTCTGGGTACTGTGGATGTGATGGTAAATCCAGAAATAGGAAAGGAATCTGCTTAAGTAACAGAGAAACGGGCATCTCAGTTTTTGCTGGAGCCTGATTATTCTTTGTTGAAGAATAAAATAATGAGTTCAGGTTTTCCTTGATTTTCTGTTTTCTTCTTCAACTTCTGATACAAAAGTACAGTTTTGCTTTGTATATAAAGAAAAAAGCCCAGATCAGATGGTCACAGACCAGCTGGCCATGTAAAAAGCCACCTTGGCCACTTGTCGATAGTCCATTGCAGTAGCTCTCTTCAATAACCAACTTGAACATTGTCATCTGCTGCTGTTGGTTTTGTGAGACTTGGTGCAGGATTTAATTTCCTTTTTATGGAAAGCCAAAAGTCACATCAATTTGTCTTGTAAAAACATTGTCTTTAAATGCTTTTGGCTCTGTGATGCCTTACAACTAAAAAATAATGTATGATTTCTGATAAAAGGCATCCAAAATGCTACTGTCTTATTTCTTGTCCTTATTTTGAGACAGCATTTAGGTCTCAATTTGCATTAGCTCTGCACTTGGATTAATCTAATAGCAGTAACAGCATTAATATATTTCCAGCTCTAGAGGCAATAATGAGGCAGTGTTTATGTAATACATTAGTCTGTTCCTCTTTCAGAAATAAGTGCTTCTTTTTGTTAGCAAAGTTAGGAAGTATTGAGCATAAAAACATCTAAAATAGGCTTTTTAGTATCGCTCTTTTATGAGGGTGATTACTCTGGCAGTGCTTCCTGGCAGACAACACAGACTTGTGCCTAATCCACGGGGTATTTCTTGTTCAAAATATTGCATGAAAGTGAATATGTTTTAAACTCGGGCATGTCTGCATTACATTGGCAAAACAAATCACAGCAATTACGATCGCAAGGTAGGAGAGGTGCAGCCACAGCACGTCAGGAGAAGCTGCCTCTGTCCTGCTCCAGCCCTCGCCTGCCTGCCAACCCCACCTCAGCTGCACCTCAGCCCATCTTGGAGCTGAGCCTGGCCTTCCTTACTCTTCACTCCAGAGGAGACCTGCCTTACTCAGCCTTAATTCACCATTCCCTGCTCTGTGATAACCCCAGATCTTTATTTCAAGTAACTCAGTAATGCTGACTTTGACTCCATGGCTGTTGATTGGCTGATTAGCAGATATGTATGTTGCAATAAAGCAAGCTTTATGCTTTATTTAGGATTTCATTCCACTCGTGGTAAAAGAAATAGGAATGTTTCCCGCCCCCCACAGTTCTCAAAAGATTGCACAGAGAGATGCAGAGGACTACAGCCAGTATCCTGAACCAATACCTTATATTGTTGAGCTTGTTCTCCCTTGAACCATGCATCTGGAGTTAGTCCATGCAGTCAAAGACAGAATCTCACCCCTTGGAATTCACTAGCTTCTGTGTTTTTACCTTAGCAGCTAATTTTCTATTGACTTCACGTTCTTAAAATGAACCCTATATGCCAGACTTGTGTTACAGTGCCTTGACACGATTTTTAATTCTTTTTAAATGCCTAGATGCATTAATGCCTCTTTGTTTCTTTTTATTTTTGTAAACAGGAGTGACAATGCATACTTTTTTTCTATTGCCATATCTTTACAATTGCCTATAACGTTATAAAGACATGAGATCCTTTGTTAATAAAGAAACAATTTTCTAGCACTTTAGTGAAAGCAATTGGACCAGCCTAATAGACTGCTTTGACATTACACTTCCATTTAAAAATAAATGTGGTCTGTCTCAAGAGTGGTCATGACTTGAAAAATTTCATCCCACTTCCATTCATGCACTTAGCAAGTAGTGCAAAATGCTTGTTTATTCTTCTGTCTGTCACACAAACAATACAAGCTCTTCAAAGAATAAAAAACAAGGGTATGAAAACAAATCAAAACATTGTCATTTGAAACAATGGAGTTGTCAGAAAATGACCAAAAAATTGAGGAAATTCAAAGCTGAGACTGATACTCCATCCACCAGTAGGTTGTTCTTTTGTTCTTGTTCATATTGATGGGATTGGAGGATGATGTGTGTTGTCTTGGCTTTAAATTGCCTGCTGGGGTTACTATCTACGGACCACAGAAAATCGCTAATGGAAACCAGAGTTTTCACTGCTACCAAAACAACTTGGATGTGCCAGTCTGGGGCAGTAGGGTGCACTTTACTTACTAGTTTTCCATATGCTTACCTGACATCAGAGTAGTTTGTTGAGCTCTCTTCTCAGTCTGTAGTAACCTCCACTCCCTTCTCTCTGAATCGTGACACTTGTGTTCTCCACTAAAACGTTCTTCATGCAAAGCAGGGATAGATCAGTCTGTTCAATGCTGTGCTTTGTTTCATTTTTATCACTCATACCTAGTAAGTGTTTGGGGGGTGGGGGGAGTTACTTTTGTTTTTCTCCTGCTTTCATCCATACTCTTAAATGGAATGAGAAGTATTTTTTTCTTCTTTTAATGGCAGTTTTCTTTCTTTTTACTATCATTAACAATTATCAGCTGCTCTTTATTGGAACCGAGTGGGATCTGAGCCTTACCATTACTCCACAGACAGTAGATGGGCTGGGGGTAGGGTTATTTGAACTCCTTGGTAATGCAGACAGCCTCATGGTGTATAAATGTGGAGACAAGAATAACCTCTGTACAAATGAGGGGCTGAAAGTCAGATGACTGTTAAAGTAGCTTTTTTGTTGTTGTTGTTTTTTTAAATTATCTTTTTCCCCTCCAGATAAAAATTTAACCACTACTTATATTGGCTAGAACAAAAAATTAGTTCAATAATTTTCTGTAAAATTCATTATGGGAGGAAAAGTTCAATTAGAAAATATTAGTCTCTTTTTTCCCCTTTTTTTTAAAGCTATCTGGTTTTCTTAAGGAAAAAAAAAATCTGCTATTCAAATAACAGTTTTCCAGTAATGCTTTGTTTGGCTTATAAATTTGTTCCAGTAAAGCCATATACTGTGTACAGTACGCCTCGAGTCTTCCTCTGAGTCTGTTCTGTTTACTAATATAGCATTTTTATTTTGCTTCTTTGACATGTGCGTTGTTTGAAAAGCAATGCTAATGCAGTTCACAGGGATGTTGAGTTTAACAGTTCCCCGCGTGAGCCGCGTGTACTGATGAGCTGGGTTTATTCTTTATTCCTGCCTTCCTCTCGGGACCCGGGTACTTGTCTAACCCAATAGACTGACAGTGAGCAGACGGATACTGCGGCTGATGGTGAGACCACTGCCACCGAGGTTTGTACAGTCGCCATCACCCAGCTATGGCAGGGGAGAGCGTTTGGCCTTGTCTCTTCCCAACCCTGGGGGCTAGACCACATGTCTGCTACAGCAGCTCAGGGTCCCTCCCTGCGCGCGTGTGCATGTGCGTGCCTGCAAGCGGGACAGCTTTGCCAGGAGAGCCGAGTTTCCGGTGTTCCCTGTGGGCTCCTCTTATTCCTGAGTTTGGTTTGGAAGCTGCAAGGCCTCTGCGTTGTGTGGCTGGGGGGGCAGTGGCAGTGTCACCCGCGCCAGTGCTGCCCACCCGGAGGGTTCTGCTGGCCAGATTGTGCCCTGGGGGTTTTTGTTTGCTTGTTTGCTCTTAGACTCTGAAGCCTGAGTGGGAGAGTGGGGAAAAGACAATGAAAAGCTGTTTTCAAATTTACTGAATATTCTCACATTTTAAATATCTAAGTCTTTTCTTTAATGTAATTTCACATACGGCCTTCGTATGTAATCTTCACATATGGCCACTACTAGTCCAGGTATTCTTTTCAGAGGAGAAATGTAAAATGTTTATATTTTCCTTACACTAAGAAACCTCATGTCCACAACATGGTACATAGACTGTGCAGGCAAATTCAACCTTATGTTGAATTTTATTATATGCACTGAAGTGCATATAATGCTTTCATAATTAATATGATTGCAGCTGCAAACATGAGCTGAATTTCATCTGACATCTGCTAGAAGACAAAGTCTTACCACAAACACTACTCTAGGTTTTCAGGAGGATCTCATTAATATTTGAGACTGTTAAAATTATCTTCAAGGAAAAATTTTCTGTATGACACGTCAGGACAATTCAGCCTTGGCTGTAAATAGAATAAATTTGAATGGAGTTGTAAAGTAATCAACAGATTTTCCCATGAGTCATTTGTCTAATTAGGACTATATGGAAAATTAACAATAAAATAGCAGCATGGGCATTAAAAGAATTCAAACAGTTCAACAACATAAAGTCTGTTGAGATGAGTCAGAAGTACAAAATGTTTTGAAGTGCTTCTTCCACTCATAGGCCTTGAGTACTATAGAAAGTAAAACAATAATAAAATTGTGACATTTAAATGTTCAGTTTGTTACTCAAAAATGCATGTTAATATTCCTAGTTGCTATCTTTATTTAGAGGAGAAGATATAGCACATATCAGTTGGATATGGATACCTGATTTTCAAAATGTGTGGTATATCTGCCACCTGAAAATTGCACCCTTGGAAATAGGGCTGCTGGGGCAGTCCTTATGGTGTTGCTTTTGAAAATGTGCACCGAAGTGGATGGGATGTGTGTGCCATTCCACATGATAGGGCCTGAAAGAATATATACAGGCTAAATATAAAATAAAATTACAGAAATACAGAAAGGGACTATGGTCAGGGAAATAGCATTTTAAGCAGATAAAATGTGCATCTTTCTGTAGAAAGTGTTGCAAGTTGTTTGCCCATGGTGAGTTTATGCAAAGCTTTGCTTGTGGCCCAGATTATGTCCTGTGTGTAAATTCTGGGTTTACAGAATTCCAAAGCATTAGCTGTTGCTGTTCCATCCTAGACTAGCTGCGACCTTGGTGAGAAGGTGCATCTGCTGCTCCATAAATAGAAATTTATGAATGTGGAGTGTAGCAATATTTGTAAAAGGAAGATGTTTACCACCCCTTTGATAACAAAACACAAATTTGAGAAGTGGACGTTTGCTCTGAGTTAGGAAAACCGTGCAAAGCCAGTGTGTCTACTCCTTCTCCTTAAACCCTTAATGAGGAGAAAATGGGATTTTAACCTAGTGTGTACCTCTCACCAATGTTCATAAAGCCTTCATTCATGCAAGTGGGTAAGGTGTTGTTTTCCAATCTTTCTCATGCTGGCAGTCGGATCAAGAGGAGGACGGAGATCTAAAGGCACAGGTACAGAAACAAAAGGTCTAGATGTTGCTCAGGTATCAATGTTGGAGGTGTTCGCCTCTTTCAGCATGTTACTGTCGGTTCTCTGTGAAGAAATGTGTAGAAACAGCATTTTGTATCCTTTCAATACTGTGTCCCTTACTTTTCCCTTTCTTTTTCACTTCTTTCAGAATAGTCTGATTAAGCGAATACAGGGTGAAAATGTGTATGTCAAACATAGTAATCTTATGTTAGAGGTTGGTATTGGTATATACCAGTGCATGTACGTACATGTGTGTTAGTTTTAGTGGTAAACTGTGGATCTGCACTATGATGCATGAACTGTGTACTCCCACCTGCTAATAGATTATTTTTTTCTCTCAGATTATGATGACTCCTCTAACTTGTACTATCAGTATCGATATATGCGTGTGCCTCTATGTGTGTGCCTCCACGCGCATATGTATGTTTGTTTGGAGCCTCTTTATCAGGTGCAAATTATAGTGATATGGATAGGCTCTTTAAGAGTGTATTTAGACTCACTTGTACAAGATATGCTATGCTGTTCTCTTTCAAAATGCCACATTTTCACAGAGTGTTGTGTTGGTGCTGTGCTCCCCGGCTCCCTGAGCTGTTACTTCCCTCTATACTAACCAAGTTGTGTGTTTTGGCTCTAAAGTGTGGTTGGCTTAGGATGTATCACAAACTGCTCTATTCTTTTAAAACTGTCTAGGATCTAGACAAAACCCAGGAAGATCTGATGAAACATCAGACCAATATAAGCGAGTTGAAACGCACCTTCTTGGAAACCTCCACAGAAACGACTGTGTCTAATGAGTGGGAGAAGAGGCTTTCCACATCTCCCGTTCGGCTTGCAGCAAGGCAGGAGGATGCTCCTATGATTGAACCACTAGTGCCTGAAGAGGTCAGCGTGAGCTGAAAGGCTTCATTATGTATTTGTCTATGCAATTTTACTTATAGCAGCTCTCACTAGATTAGGGGCCGTAGTTAGAGGCCAATCCCTGCTTGCAGGCCCTCCCTTTTCTCAGGACGCAGGCTCTAGCAGCAAAGAAGGGAGGAAGAGCAGATACCATAAATGTATACATATATAAATATATGTATATATAGAGAATTAAATTCACTGGAAGCCATGTGGCAGAACTGGGTCTCTCTGAGACCCAACGCCTGTGCAAAATACAGGCATTGTTGCAGGTTCAGTGAGCTTGAGGAAGTCCAGCCATGCATAAAGAAACCATGAAAGTGATGGAGAGGAAATTTAAACAATGGTGGCTGGATGGGAGAAGTGGTGTAGTGAGACAGGTGGGAGCTATGGTGCCAAGCTTGAAAGAAAAATACAGAACAAAGGGCAGAACTCTCAGTCTCTGAAAACAGGGAAGTAATAATGACAATAATTAGACCTTCTTGGCCAGTTCCATATGGAACCTGATGGTTGCTGCAGTCTGCTGGATACTGTCTTTGAAGACCCAATGCAGATTGCTAAGTATCTCCATTTTCCTGCAGTGTGTGTGTGAAAAAAATCTTGCTCACTGTGCATTCTTGAAGTGCTTGTGAGAAACTTGCCAGTTTAAAAGCTGGTGTTTACTTGATCTGTAGGTGGATAAGGACATGTAGGGGTAGCAAGGCAACATGTGTTGCAATAAAATACATAGTGTAGTGTCTTGGCTTAAGTCCAGTGGAGCAAAAAGAAATAAGCTTGTGTGGTCTGCCTGAGAGTTATTTTTTTATTCTATTATTAATGGATATCTGGTTTCTGTCTCACAGGAATTATCTTTATGGGTTCCTCTTGGTTTTAGCATTAGAAACCAATAAAAGGTCATGAGATTTTTTTCCTGTGCCCACAGCCCTGATATAATGTTGTAGGGAACTCAGTAAAAATTGTCTGGAAAGTGTAAATTGAAGGAGTGTTCTGCTTTCTCACCTCAGAGGTTGGTCTTGCAAACCCATAACTCTGGGGAAGGGCATCCCTGGAGGCATGCAGGTAGCAAGTGTCAGCTTCTCCTCACAGGGAAAGGAACATTGCCAAGGAAAGGGGTCTCACCTCCTCCTCTCCCACATTATAGCTATTGGCTGATGCTGGCACCAGATGTGCATTACTGTGGCATTCAAATTGGATTAAAATATGTAAAAAAGCAGGCTCTGTGCTCAAATCTTCCCTTTTGAGGGGAGCACAGAGAAGTTTTAGTGTTGCTCCTACTGCCACATTCAGGAATCATAGCAGACCCTACTAACAGGTTGGTTTGATTGTAGTTAAAAATAAAGTTTTATCATTCTAAGAATTAAAATTGTAAGTACAATGAACAGGATGCATTTATCATAATAAAGATGTAAGGAACTCTTGGAAAGGGTGGCAAGCTGAGCCTGAATCAGAGGATTGCAGGGGAAGCAAACTTAGCACCACCCTGTTTGTTTAATATCTTTATTACTTTAGGAATGTAATAAACAGTTTTAATTAAAACATACAAACAGTATTAAAGTATTGCACAGCTATGTAGGCTTCACCCTGATGAAACACATCTGAATTTAACCATTCATTTGGAAAGGAAAAGGGTAAGAATTATACATGCATCTAAGTAATACATCTGTTTCACAGAACCTCATCCAAATGAAGGTATTTCTGTGGAAAATTAAGAGCAGACTTGAGCTATCAGAGCCTAGCTCTGAAATGACTTTTGCCGTAGATAGCACCTGGCCATTCCTTTGGTCCCAGTAAGTGAGATGGTTTCAGTTCACATGTCCTGATGAGAGGGGATTTTTTCAGAAAAAAGCTGGAGCCATCCATAGGTCAAAATCAGCATCTTGATGTCTACTAAGAAATGCAGAGGAAGTCAAGATAGTGTAGTGCCTTCTGCTAATCAAAGAAGTTACACCTTATCCACTTTAAAAATATGTTCAGTGCTGTTACCTGTAGCTCCTTCTTATAATAAAACAAGAACAGAGGAGAAAAGATGTCTTTTCAAAATATGATCTTCAAGTACATGGCACCTGAGTGTTTGGTCAGTTTAACTTTAAGCCACTGGTCGCTGCTTGGTTTCTTAGAACAGATGGGGAAATAATTTGGTTTTCCTTAGTAATGAAAATTATAGTTTTAAATATCTTCCATGATACATCTACAGCCAGATAGCTGTAGAACATGAAAGCCATTATATTGACAAAGTCCTTGACAATGTCTAATCTGACCTGAATTGGATGAAACCAACACTTTATGAATAAAGGAGTTGTGCATCTGCTTGCAGTCAGGGAGTTGAACCATTTGTCCCTTTCTATTTTCATATTTCTCTTTAAATTTCTGTCTTTCCTCTTGAGTATATGTACCCTTTTATCATGCCAGCTATAGGACTTCCATTGGCGTGTCTATTGAGTATAGTATATATATTTACTGAAGTCACTAGAAAGGGTTTGGCAAGAAACCCATTTTGCTCTGCAGGGGCTTATGGCCAAATGGCAACAGTGGCCAGCCCAGAAGGTGGGCTCAAAAGCCTTGGGAAATTGGGTCTTGCCTACATTTAACATTTTCCCAGTTGTCCAAGATAGAGATACTCTTATTATTCCCATAGCACTGGGAAAGCGCTGATGGGATAAAAGTGAGGAGATTTCAGTACACACTACAGGATAATAGAACAGCAGTTAGCTCCCTCTGTAGGAAAAGTGCTTCTAAGACTTCTAATACCAGCAGAGAAAAAGAGAGAGCTGAAATCATGGCTGGGCACACCTTCTGCCTGCTTCAGCAGAGAGGGCTGCAAACTCAGGAGAGAGCCTTGCCCAGAGTGAAGGTGCAGGGGCCTGTTCTGGGCTATTGGTGGAAGCTGTGTGAGCTGGCATCAGCCCCAGTTAAATAAATCATATGACATGAAGCAAACACAGTGCATCCACACCTGGGTCTTACTCAGTTTGGTGGGTTTTGTGCTACACTTGTGCATACCATTTTTATACTCATGTCTCCTCTCCATAGAGAGACACTGATTTCACTTCTCATTGGAAACCTCTGTGCTGCAAAACGATTCTCTTTAGTTCTGTTTCCTAATTTTCCATGAGATTAATAATTTGTAGAGAAATATGAGCTACTGTGAAGTATAGTATATATACCCTCCATTTACTAAAATCATTTATTCCCCTGACATTAGACCAAAGAAGAAACAGAAAAATCAGAAAAACTCATAATTTTGCAGAAGGGAGGTACTACATTCCTTGAAATGCAGGTAAAAACAAACAATACTTCATTGAAATGCAGTCAGAAAGGATGGCAATGATTTATTATTTTATTATCTTTTTTCATTTCCAAGCCCTCCCTTTTCATATTTTTTTTATTGTTATTATTTAATAAGTTCCAGGCAGAGATATAATCTGGAGACCAAATTCTGAGGAATGGGTCCTTTCCAGAGCTTATGGCTTCCTAATGGAGACTGATTTCTTTGCCAGTTAGAAATCTACTTGCACGGTGCAGTTTGGATGTTGTTTGCAGTTTGCATGCATTTCCAGCATAAACCTCACTGAGAACGTTACGGGGAATGAGGCACTTCTGTCACGAGAATGCATTTCCTTTATATTGTCAACTGAATTTAGATTATGTTGAGTGATGGTGAACTTTATATTTTTATTGGTTTTTCTATTAGCCAAGTGTGATAGAGAAGAAGCTGCAGGAAGGAGAATCTGCTGGCACTTTGGTTACTTCTCATCAAATCATTATCCAGAAAAGTATCCCATCATCCCTAGAGGTTATTTTTAACTCATTTGATTTTAAACTACATCATTTGCTTAGTTAAATACAGAAGTTACAGTCTTAAAGTCAAATAACTGGATGCTGATTGCATAGTCAAAGCAAATCACATAGCACATTTGCATGAGGAGGAAAAAAGATGCTGCAATTAAGTTTCATTCAGAATTTTTAGTAGTATGCTTAGTTTATACAGTTTGCTGTGTTGTGCTTCTCCATTTAAACAATCCTGAAGGGCGTTGATGTTCTAATGAAAACAAGAAAATTCAGTGCAGGCTACATACAGAAGAGTGCTATTCTAAAACGTCATTAACAGCATGTTTGTAACAACTAGGGTACAGTTGAATGAGCTTATTTGCCCTATTTTTGTAATTTGTTTTTGACTGTAGCTTTGTTAACCACTGCAATATGTGATTTTTAACCCCAAGTTGATTCCAATCACCACTATAATTACGTGCTGACATGCTATTTTGCTTCAAACAAATACAGAAATAGTGTGGCAAAAGTAATATTTTTGGGTCCATGTTATATGGACCTCTGAAGAGAGAGAATATGCAAAGAAATCATATTTTTCCTAAGGTGATTCTGTTTATTTGCTTGATAACTGCTCTAAGAGGTACAATGCTAGAAGTTATTATATGCTTTCAGAAGAAGCAACATGATTTCTTAAAAGTCTTCATAATTTAGTTCTCCTGAAGTACAGATAAACCTGCAGATATTCTAATTTAGCTTTTATATCTCAAATATAGGGCACTGAGGATTGGGTTATTATAGACAAAATACCCTCTGAGGTAGTTGATGGTGAATCGGAAAAAAATCTGGCATACAAAGTAGTGACTGTGAGCAGTAAAACTGCCTTTGCACCTGAGATATTAAAATCCAGTACCGTTCTAATGCAGAGCTTTGAGGACTTGGAAAGTGAAATACAATCCAATGAGGAGAATAAGCAGAAAATGTTCACCCTAGGAAAGTCCTATGATACCGTATCTGGGAAAATTGTAACCATGACAAGTAAAGCTAAAGAGGTCGAGAAAACAGTACAGCCTTCAGGAGAAACTTTGCAAAAACTGGAAAGGGAAGTTCAAGAATCTGTGAAAATCGTTCCAATAGTGGCCAAGTATGAAGTCCTCAAGCCTGTCACTGATGAGAAAGCCAGGCGGGGATCTGATGTGCAGAGCACAAGAAGAAAGCTGTCTGACTCTCTGACACCCATAAAGGAAGCAGAATCCCTATTGCAGAGTCCTGAAGAGGAGAGTTTGAAAAAGACACTAAGGATGGACCAGGATTTGCAGTTACTTGGTACACTGGAAAGCTTACAGCTTGGCAAAGCAGAAAAGCATCTTGGCGGAGAAGGTGTAAAAGCAGGGGCGTTTGCCCGGACAGATAAGAGCCTGTCTGAGTGGAGATATTCCAGAGAACAGCCATTTACCATTGCTACTGCTCACTATGTTACTGAGTCGTCTGCATCAAGAGTAGTGGTAACAAGTGGCTTTGACTTCACGCCACGATTTAAAGATAAAAGCATGACTTCTTTTAGGCAATCCCTTCACACCACCCTAGCTTTGAGTTCTCTTGCTGCCTGGCTTTATGTTGACAGCAGCCAACCCGGCTTATTTTTTTTCTCTCATACTTTGAATCCGTCTCACAGTCTGAAGCAGGCATTATATAAGGCTTTCAACCTTTCTGGTTTATGTACTGAAATTCAGTATTGCTGCTGTGGCTTGTTAATAAAAGGAAAAAAAAAAAGGTTTGCTTGAACCAGCAAAATGCCAATGCTAACAACTACGCTTTGTAACTATTGCTTACTACAGCCATTATGAATTCGCTCTGATTTATTTTCCCATTCTTTTCCTGTTTCCAACCTCTCCGTGCCCCTGCAACCTTCTCTCCTTTTCCTCCTTCTCTGCCTCTGGTTTTGGCAATTAATATGTCTGTGCATATGGGTCTGCCTTTTTTCTGTATATGACTCTACATTTCTTTGTCTATTTAGACTAAACAGTCCACCAGTGAAAAAGCCTTGGATGGTTCAGATATCTTCACTTTAATAGAGTCCGCCAGAAAACCAACTGAGTTCATAGGAGGGGTTACTTCTACTTCCCATACCTGGGCTCAGGTGGCTGCTTGATTCCCTCCATTGATGTCATAACCATGCACCAATTACTTTTGCTTTTCTCTTATTTTATGTTTTTTTTTGCACAATATGGAACTGTACAACTAATGCATGTATTCATGTGTGTTTTCTTTTGATTCAATGGACCACAACAGAAGCTTCACCAAAAAGAAAAAAAAAAAAAGGCTACAACCAACTTTTCTTTTATTTCATTTTATTTTGGTCATTTTGTGGGGTGCTGTATTTTGCCTTTGTAAAACTCACACAATACTAATGAGAAGAACACCAAGATCAAAATTTCTCTTCACTTTTAAAAATTTTGCTTCTTGCTTTGTTTTCCATTTCCACTATACTGATAACATCCCGAGAACAAAAATCCATGCAACGTGGGAGAAATAACTTGGCAAAATATAATGCCCATTTTTTAAAAATTTATGTTCACAGTACATTAAGCTTGGGCGCTACTACAAATAGCGTTGCCTGCTTCTGATGCTGAGGGTTTTTTTCCTCCTTCCCTGCAGAGAATAGAAACGACGACGTCTCAGGAGATAACTTCCAGTGACATGAAGCAAGCAGTTCAGCCGGATCAGGATACAGTGCAGAAGGTTGTACAGGAGACTGTAGTTGTCAAGGAGAGACATGGGATGGAGGTGCATGCAGGCGGGGATCCTGCTAAAGTGGCCGGACTTACGCTGGATGCCCAGGCTGAGGCAGCGTCGGCGGTGGCTGCCGGCGTGAAAGGGAAGGAGGGCTCTGCTGGGACTGAGGGGGCCAAGGAGGAAAAAAGGGAGGAGGCTGGGAAAGCCCTAACCAAACAGGAAGGAGTCGCTGCCGCTGCTTCGTGTGAGCAGGCGGAGGAGCACAGAACAACAGTCCAACTTTCAGAGTCTTTGGAAAGAAAACCTCATTTTGAGGTAACTTGTTGTTAAATTGGTCATGTCTGTGCTGAATTGTGAATGTAGGCTAATAGTAGGCTAAGTTAATTCCTGTCATTGAAAGTAAAGTGTGCTCAGCTTGTATGATTGTACTTTTACAGAAAGCAGGTTTTTTCTCCTCTTATTTCCTCCTTGCATGTCACCTGCAAGGCTTGCTGCTGGTTTCCATCATTAGCAAAATGCCATGCATGTTTTACTTGTAACTGCTTTTCATGTTGCAGAGAAATACCAAATTTCATGGCATTTTATGCAACAGATAACAAGATCAGCTGGCATTCTGTTTGGGAAAGTCCATCGATGTTGGCAAAGTTCACATGTTCCCAAAGACAGGAAACAGATTGCTTTTTCCATGCTTGATGCAATTATAAATAAATGTTCTGTGTCTTAAACAGACAAGGTTCCTTATCTTAGCCCCATTAGTAGAATTTCAAGAGCTGTTTTGTGCAGGGTTTTTTCCCCAGAGATAAAAAGGCTAAGCCTGGACAGAATTCATTCTCTTGTCATTCTAAGAAAATGTAGAATCACAGATTCTCAGAACAGTTCAGGCTGGAAGGACCCTCTGGAGGTCATCTGCTGCAGTCCTCTGATCAGACAGAGCCATCCAGAGTGAATTGCTGCTCAAGACTATGTCCAGAGAGCTTCTTCTGAGTATCTTCAAGGAAGAACATTCCACAATATCCTTGGGCAACCTGTGCCAGTGTTCAGTCACTCTTACAGTGAAAAAGTGTTTCCTGATGTTCTCAGGGAACCTCCTGATTTTCAAGTTGTGACCATTGCCTCTTGTAGCATTTAGAGCATTTTGGACTTTGTTTTTGTAAATGTTGCCAGCATTATATACGTGACTGTACCACTGTAATTAAGAGAATTTTATCTTTTTTTTTTTTTTAATGCATAACATTTTTTAGCTATTCTTTCTTTGCACCAAACAAAAAAAAATATTCTGAGAAATCCATAACCTCTGCTAAATGTTCCAATTCCTTCTTTTTTTGTTCACGCAGTCACCAGTTGTGAAGACTGAGACTATAAGTTTCAGCAGTGTTCCGGCTGGTGGGGAAACCCTTGAAATTTCAACAAAGGAAGTGCCAGTAGTCCATACAGAAACAAAAACCATTACATATGAGTCTTCTCAGGTAAGAAATTCTGCAAAAGACATGCTCTAATTTAATGTTCCTTTAAAGAACCCATTTCTTCACCCATCTTTAAGTGTATGCTTTAGAGTGAACTTTTCTAAGTTGTTCAAGTATTAAATATTAGTATGAGGAGGATGTACATAAGAATAACTTACCTGAGGGTCACTCTCACATCCTGGTGTAGGGCCTTTCCAGAACATTGATGAAACTGCAGATTTAAAAGTGTCATCTTCTCATCTGTGCTTCCAGAGGGGAAGGACAGCCTCCAGATACACAGAGAAATACTCACACTTGGTTGCCCTAATAGCAGTTTTTCCATACCATAAGATAGTCACTTTATGAAGAACAGTAGAAATAGGGAAGTTTAACAGTCCAGTTCTCGATTCCCTGTGCCCAGGATCATTTTTTTGGTGACTGCTTTTCTCTTCTGGTTTCTAGGTGGATTGTGGTGCTGACTCTGAACCAGGTGTATTGATGAGTGCACAAACGATCACATCTGAAACCACCAGCACTACAACTACTACACATATCACCAAAGTGAGTCCTCAGAAAACAGGGAGCTCCTTTTTCACCAGGGTGTATGCTATCTTAGCTTTGGTTCTATGATTTATTTCAGAAAGGGAACACATTCTGATACTCTCTTGACAAACTGTTGTAAATTTACCATAAATACTTGTCTTTATTCACCTGTCTTTGGCTATGCTGAGATTGATTAACACATCATCCAATGACTTGACATGAATCCTAAACCCTTAAGGTATGTCTATGCAAGCACAAAACCTTGCTGTACAGAAACACTTGATTTAGCTGCAAATGCTACCTGGAACTGGAAAGAGTATAACCATATTGGCATATTCCTGGAAGGAGTAACTTGTCTGAACATGAGGTTCCATTGACATGACTATGCCTTTCAGCTCTGAGATTAGCACTGCATGGTGTTGAAAGCACATAGTGAATCCATATCCTGTAGCCATAACAGGACATTCAGTCAGCTCCAACACCTTGGCTCTCTTTCTGGGTGGTACCCTGAGGAACTTGCCCACAGCCAGACCAAAAGTTCATCTGCACAGACAAACCATGCTTTGTCTTCCAGGTTCTAAGGTAGCATTTAAATAACAGTTCCTCCCTAAATAGAAATTCTCTTAGTCTTGTGACAGCTCTCCTACCAATATTCATTGAGTACAAGATTTCATCTTTCTGCAGTGAAGTTCCCTCATTAGTAGATGAGCCATGCAAAGGCCATGCCACCCCGTATGCCATTCTGAAGCATGCAGTTGGACTTAAATAGGTCTGAATATGGGGCTGTCTGTACTCTCATTCTGTTTTTCATGGGAAAAGTTTGGCATTTTTGACACACAAACAGCTCTTTTGATGCATGTGCAGATTAACTCAAATTATAAAATTACCTGTCTTGGAAGGACATCTGGAGGTCATTAGTCCATTCAGAGCCTTCAGGCCAACTCCAGAGCTGCTCACTTGCAGTCCAGGTTGTCCCCTCTTTGAGCTGTTTTGGTCCAGTCATGAGAGGGTTCCTGCACTGATCATTCTGGGGATGAGTAGCAGCACTCTAAAGTGAGTTACTGACATGCATTTTCATCCCTCCCATCTAGACTGTGAAAGGAGGCATCTCAGAGACAAGAATTGAAAAACGGATAGTCATCACAGGAGATGCAGATATTGATCATGATCAGGTAAAAGCTACAAACTGCTAAAAAGGCTGCCCTGAAGACTGCAAAAGAGAACATTTCTAAACATTGCTTTGACAGATATTATCCATACTGGCATGCCTTATATTAAACTGGAATAGTAGTTAAATCAGTGATGGTATATTTCATATTTTAATCATTTTCCTCATTTGTAAATTGTGTAATATGTCATGAATCTCTCCACCTTGCTATTGATCATGCATGTTCCACCTCCTTTTTGTTTCTGCCCTTCTGTGGTTTCCTTGGGATAGGCGCTGGCTCAGGCAATTAAAGAAGCCAAAGAGCAGCACCCTGACATGTCAGTGACCAAAGTAGTGGTACATAAAGAGACAGAAATCACACCAGAAGATGGGGAGGATTGACCACAGGTAAGAGGACCAGATGATTTTCCTAGGCATTTACTGGGCTGGCATGTTGCAGATGTTGTTCTCCTACCATATTTCACCTTTTAACTCTTCACTTTCTCTCACTGGCATTTTCAAATTGCTGGTTATCAGTTCTGATATTTGAAAGTAAACCACATTCAGCTCTAGACATCTGTCTTCATTAAACAGTGCCAGCTGGAGAAAGAGAAACTACTCATTTGCTTTCGTTGGCTCTCTGAAAAGTCCTCATTGTCCATGCTTTGTTATAGTCTAATTTTCTACTTCTGAAGTCATAAAAAATCTGTTGTCCGCTTTTGTGTCATTTAAGAACAAAAACAATTTGTTCTTAAAGGTGTGCATTTTTGTTTAAAAATGCCAAGGGAAAAAACCTACAGCTGCTTTTTAAATGTCTTGTGCAGATATGTTGAAAGTTATGCTTCAATTCCTGACTTGCAAAGATATGGTCCAACTTGCTTTTAAACGCAGTGAATTAGTTTGTCGGTATTTGGGTGTCTTGGCTTTCTTGTACTTGAAAGAACATTTAATGTTTTAAAGCAGCATTGTTTATCAGGATGAGATGATAATGCAGCTTTCCTTGCGTCTAGCTTTTCCTCAGCAAAGGCATGCTCCCCAGTAGTGGCTGGCTAAACAGACGTCTCAATATTTCTATATTTATTCTGTGTGCAGAAACATGTCATGCATACTAACCTGCTACGCAAAAGCTCTTAATGCCAGCACCATTGCACAAATTGCTTTGAATGCTGTATGCAGAAGGGGAAGAAAAAGCTGCTTGTCAGATTTGTTGAATCAATAGCAGCATTTTATTCTTAAAACAATATGTATTCCCTAGCACTTGGTGTAAGTAACAGAGTATAATGCACAGCACCTTTTGAAGCTCTTTGGCTCTCCTGCTTTTGGATATACAGACCCTAAAGAAAACTGAATTTCAGTGTCAGTTATTTATTTGGAAGATGGAACCAGTCACTAAGGAGTGAGTAGCTGTGATTCTTGTGGTATTCTGCTAGTTGTTTCAGAGACAGCTCAATGTGGCTTGCTTAAAAGTCTATTGATGTCACTAATTTTTTCCATTGGCGTCAGTGGACTTTGGATTTGGTCCAAGTTGCTTATAGTGGGATATGCCATCTTCAAACAGCTTTTCTTGTATGAACAAATTGACAGAATCTCTTTTGCAAGAGTGTAGTTGCTTTGAATAATTAACTCAGTTCTCTTTTCTGCAGGAATAACCTAGAATGCATATGAATCCAGACATGCATACCAGTAGGAATACGAGAACCTATACGGAGTCTCAGTTCCTGACTTGTATCTGACTATGGAAAATTTCAGTACAGAAGAATTGATCTTGACCGTTAATAAAGAAACTGGCAGAGATACCTTCCCATAGAAAGCAATCTGAATCAGCAGCAGTTAAACAATATTGCATGAAGCAACAATAAAATTACAGAAAAGCAGCATTTTTAATTTTCTTAAAATGTCTAAGTTTTCAGCTTTACCTGCACGTTCATAAACAATATAAACAGTGATCTCATGTAACACATAAACAGTTCATGCCTTTCACAGTTTCTGAAAGTCTAAACAAATTAAAATTTGTTAGGTGGCAAGCCTTTTGTTTACGGATATTGTAAATGAAGATTACCCCGAAAATGCTAGAAGCTGTATAGGTACTGTGTATAATGTTTTACCACACATTAGATGTGCCAATAACACAGTTTATTCAGTAAACAACTTGAATCTTATATTTGTTTCATCTGGTTTTATTACTGCCCGATAAACGATGATGAATCTTTACTCTTATCAAAACATATAAATGCTTACAAAGTGTGCTTTGTATACCTGACTGAATACCTTATGAGGTAGTAATGATTTTAGTATATTAACTTTAATGATTTTTGTCAGCATTGTTCAGAGTCAGCTTCCAGTCACCCTTCACAGATCCTAACCTTGTAAATTATATGTAGTTATTTTGGAGAAAAAAAAAAAATCTGTATTTTACTTAGTTTGCAGCTTTAGAAAATTATTAATCTGAAATAACCGTGATGGTTTTCTATTGATTTCCCTTTTGTTCTCAGAGGAAAAAAAAAATCTGTTTGAGAATCTGGTCAGCATTTACTATCTAGTTCTGAGTCAAGCCTTAACCTGTACAGAACGTCCACTGAAAACTCTCTAGTGTCCAGCTCTAATACCCACGGAAGGGATAGCATCCATTACACTGTCAGCTGCATCACAACACATGGTGAATGTATGTTTCTGCATAGTGAAATAAAAGTGGTAAATGCATCTCAAATCGTATTGTTCTGTGTCTAAAAGCACCTAGTGGTCTTTAGTATTCAAAACATCAAAATGTTATGTTTGTAAGACACCAGAGGTTTCACTCATGTGCACAGTAGATGTGTTTTGTTTTCAGTGGCTGACACTGCACTGTGCAGACAGTGGGAGTTAGCAGAGAATCCAAAGGGGTGACAGTGTTCACCTTTGGGCATACGATGTTTGCAAAGGAAAAGGACTGTTTGGTTCCTTCTGTTTTCTCTGGTTGTGTAACATTTCACCGAAGCTAAATGAAGAATTTTGTTGTTGCTTAGAAAGTAAAGGCCAGTAGCGCTTGATCCAGATCCACTCTCTTTTTTGTACTTTGGCTCTGAAACATGGATAAAATTCTCTTTAAAGCAGTATTACTTATTGGTTCCTTTCTTTTTTTTTTGCTCCTTTGCCACATCTCACTGACACTTCCCTGGTAGTTTAAGAGAAATTTGTAAGGATTGGTTCACCCTTCGATCTGTATTTCCTTGCAGGATTGAAAGGTAATGGGTACAAGCAGACTTTTCAGGACATAAAGGGCCAAATTTGCCCTTCATTGTTTACACGGGGCTCCCTCCCATTGAAGTCAATGGATTTGCCTTCAGTGGAGAGCAGGATTTGACCCAGTGACTTGTTAATAAATGTTTATTTTCATAATTTAGAAAGAAAAATAGTATATATAGAGAGAATAACCTGTAGATAATAATTAAAAGTAATATCCCAAGGCTTTTAAAGCTTTGCCCTTAGTCTCCAAAACATCTTCCTTCCACCAGCCATTCTTCATGCCTTTAAATCTGGAGTGCTAACGATGTTACCCCTCCCTGCCCCCCCGTCATTGTTACCTCTCTCCTAATGACCGAACAAAGCTGAAGGTCAGTTGTGATCTTTGATGGCCCTCTCCTCCTCCTCCTCCTCCTCCTAGCCCAAGACCATCTCTGTTCTCATGCCCCTGAGTGACAGTAGGCTCAGCTCTCTGGTGCTGCTGGTGCCCAGCGGCGGTCGGGGCTGGAGGAGGTCCTCACCCCGTCCTGGCCGGTGGCACACCAGGTCCTCGCTACTGCATCAGGAGTTTAAAAATAGACTCTGAAGCCATACCGATCCTCCTTCAGGTGCCCCTCATGTTGTCAGCTAGGAAACAGCATTGTATTACCTCAGAGAGACACGAGGCCATCGCACAGCCTTCTCTCCAGAGTTAGCATTATATTTTAGCATGGCTTGAAGAGATTGTACTCTGGTGATCCTTCACAGTATGTATGCTGTCTAAAGATATTGCATTGTAGGAAGTTAGTCTCCTTGGAAAGGACACTCACCACTAAGATACCGCCTAAGCGCATATAAACTATGAGGAGATGAGAGTGGACAGGCAAGGACATCTCAGTGCCACTGTTGGTAGTAGACCCTTGTTTGGGGGATGGTTCCTGGAAGTTATAGCTTTGGTTTTTGTTAGAAACTGTTTCTTGGGTTGTCTGCCTAATGCTGTGCCACATGAAATAAAGAGCACCTGCCTGTTTCTACCAACCATCTTTTGTCTCCGTCTCTTCTCATTTGCTGTTGGTCTTTGTCTGGCTTCTCAACATAAACCAGCCTGGAAAACAAACCATCAGTGTTTTACTTGTGGGCAGCATTGCCAACACAGACACCAGCAGGGGAGGCAGCCTTACTTGCTACAACTGGAATCCCAGCTTCAATCCTGAGAGAACTGACTACTCCGAGCCTTTATGGTAAGGGCTTTGCACACCAGGCAAGAATGGGCATAGCCAGTGACCACAGAAATAGTGACCATTACACATACAGAAAGAGTGAATACATCTCACTAACATTTTTTAAGGCTAATTGGAAGTCCTTAATATTTATGCCCCATTTGTCTCATCACAAATGGCAAATAATGGTGTTTCTGTGCTCAAGCAAATTTAAAAAACATTTAATGAGCTTCTAAATCCATATACTAGATCAAAAGAAGGATTTAAAGCTTAGACTTATTTCTTCCCAGAGCAGATTTAGGCAGTTGGTGAGATTATGTGCTTCATCTGTACAACAATTTGTATCTGCAAAAATGATAGCTCCTGATAAATAGTTCTTCATGGCATATAAATTGGACATTGAGTCAAGGCTTCAGTTCAGCAGTCACACTGGCAAGTCTTGCTGCAGGTTTCTTTCCTTACACCAGAACAGTTCTGTCAGTTCAGATCAGAAAACCCATGTACAAGTTTCACATTTACATCTTCACAGGAATTAAGGACGAGTTAAAGAAATACATTCCCCTTTTTTATACCAGAGCAATAATGGTCGAGATTCTTCAGAACCAGAAATCAAATCATTATTTTTAATAATGTTTCCTGTTGAGGGTTTGTGACATGCCTGAGGCAATGCTGAGATCTCCTGCAGTCCTATATGGTGGTTTGAGGTACTGTGGATGGACTATGGCTGGACAAGTGAAACACTAACTGAGAAACACTAACTCAATTTCTTATATTATTTTTAAAGAAAGAAAAATAAGCACTTTTCTTAGATCTATAGATCCCAAAGGCCATATCAATCTTACACCGCCAATAATGGGTTTCTGTGTCTTTTGTCACTAATTTTGTGCCACATCAGCAAAGTCTGCCTGTGGTTGCTCCAGTGCCTCAGAGCAACACAAAACACCAGCCTTCATACTTAAAATGACTATTATTTATGCATCTTGTAGTTCCATTTCAAGGATTTACATATAGACAAACAATGGGGCATCTTGTTAGTTTTTCTATAAAAATATTTTCCATACTCACTAACTGTAACCAGATTATTCCATTACCTTGGAATAATGTTAGCCCCTGTTCAGACTGTAGCTTAGTCTGGTTTATGCCTTTTGTTTCCACCTCCACCATTTTTTCTGGCTCCTATTCAACATCAGTCTTGCTCCTCAGCTGGAACTAATGGTTCCTGTAAGGACTTCTGGAGCAGAATTTCAAAAATCCTTGTTTAAAGGGAAACCAATGTGCTCAAATTACACAAAAAAAGTCAGTCAACTTTCTTCCATTATCTCATGTTCCCAAATTCAGCTATAACCTCCATAAATCAGTGACCTCACCCTTGCAGCTGAAATGACCATCACTCACTGTAAGTAGAATTAATGGCCTGTCTTTGAGCATGACCACAGTGACATAAAAGGGAAAAGAAAAATGAGAAGGAGTTCTGACACTGGAAATTGTTTTCCTTTTTAAATACATTCGATTTTATCTCTACAGTCTACCAGCTCTACTTTCTCCAGTACAAAACTTAAATTACAAACCTTTTATTCTTGGGTGGGGTGGGTTTTTTTTTGTCCAGAGTTGGCTAGGAATTTCTTTTCCATTTTCTAGAAGTATCTTTGCTGTCTGCTGTGGTGAGGTGTACCATGACTCTAAACTTCTGTGTGTAACCAAAGCTTGGGCAATGTCAGCTAACAGGAGCTGCAAAAGAGTAGATCCCAGAACATGTGCAGCTTTCAAGCTGCCTGAATTACAGCCCAGAGGGTGTGTTTGCACACAAGCCTTGCCTTACAGTGCACAGGTAAAGTACTGGACATGTGTTATTGGGTGGATGATCCTGGGTGGCTATAGTGTAAAAGATACAAGATTAGACAAAGCACATTAAAGGGCTCGGGGAAGGGTGTATCATAAATTGTACAAAAATGCAAAGAAACAAATTAAAGCAATATATCTGAGTATACAAAGTAAATAATTAAGAACTTTCAAAGCCTTTTCCAGTAGGACATGTCCAGCTAATATGATGTTTCCTTAAATCAAGGGTGATTCTAGCCCAGATGTCATTTCTCAGTGGATTTAGGAGGCAATTTCTCAGACATCCTGGTTTTCTGGCCAAACAGTTGATGCATTTGGCATATGAAGGCTTCTAAAGGCATTTATATTCCTGCACTCCAATCTCCAATCAATATTCAACTTAGATAGATGTGAATCATTTTATATAGCCACAGAGGTGGTGACAATTTAACCACTCATGTTTAGAGCTCCTAAATCCTAAGCTGCTGGACTAACACACCCACACATTTTCACAGAACATTATTTGTTCTGAGAATATTTTGGTGAATTCATCCTTGAATATCCATTAAACAATATATTTTTTTTGTTTCTTTTTATTTAAAAGGCCATCAGGTGATTGACATGTAACAAGATTTTTTTCCTGCAATCAGATGAGATGTCAGTACAGCTACTTTTTGGCATATCATTCTATAAAAAGGGAACAACAAACCACTGTAACATGTGGCCTGATATCACAGAAATAAAAGTCTGACTTGAATACCTGTGTGATTTGGTTCTTTTAATGAGGACACATCTGCTTACTCTGGGAAGACAGCCTGCAATAGTTATCCCACCACTTCCCAGTTATTTTAAAATCTTTTGTCTCTTCTTGCTTACTTTCATATTCTCCAACTTGATCCACCTGTGTTTGATCTGTCAGGCTTCTCTCTGCATCTTTTCTGCTTCCAACTTTTCTCCCAGCTTTTAAGCAAATTGTATCTGATGCTTCTCTTTTTATTAATTTTGCTGTTGCTTCTTATCACACCTATCAACCTTCTTTAAAGTCTTGCTAATTCTCCTGCAATCTTCCCAAGTCATCCATAACCACTTCAATTCCTACAATGATGATACACCCAGTCCTTAAATGCATATTTCTTTGCTTTCATATCTCTCTATAAATTTCAGTCTTGGTTCATTCTTCTCATCCCTAGTGTCTTTCCCATGAGTGATTTTATCAAGCAGCACTCTCTGATTTTTTTTTTTATAGCCACTTTCTCCCTCTTCAACCTTCCTATGATCTCTTTCAACATTTGCTCATTTTTGCTCACATTGACACTTGGACCTTTCATGTTTTCTGGTCCATTAGCTTTGATGAGTTGTCATCTGCTTTCAGACCTTTCAAACCCCATCCCTACTTTCTCTGCTCCTCTTTCTGACCTGTCACTGAAAAGCATGCATGATGGAAATGCTGTAGAATATGTAGAAAATATTCTTTTCTCTAACAATAATAAACTACACTCTTGTATTTAAATAAATCCCACCCCCAAGTAAGGCAATCTATGTGCTGCCTGTTGCTTCTACTTCTTTCTGCATGGGCTTCTGCCCATACCTTCCAAGGAGAGCATAATTAACATGCAGAATCAACAAGCAGAATGACTATTACCAGCCTATCTACTTCCTCTTCACTCTCAACTTGCCCTTTTCACAGCCATAGAAGTATTTTGTCTACTTCAACTCCTGACAGCCTCAACACATCCTCATGATTGCATCTCAAGGGATCTTTCTCCTCACAGTGTGTCATGTTTGTTACCACAATTTTACTTCCTAAATTTTTAGTTCCTCTGATGGTAAAAATGTCTGCTTTGGTCCCCCCAGGTCTCAATATCACATCTAGGATCACGTTGTCAACATTATCCAGAACTGCTCTCTCCCTCTCTGGAGGCCAACCTGTTTTCCCCACAAGAGATAGCACAGCAGCTCTTCTCCAGGCTCAGGCTCAGAACCAGTATTTTTCTGTTGTCCCCCATGACTTGCCCTCTCTCTAGACACATTCCACACTTTTCTATCTCAATCCTGTCCTCCTCTGTGCTCACTTAAGTCCTTCTGACTCTCTATCAACTCTTTTAGCAAAGGCCCTCCTTGTTTCACTCCACTTTTCTGTGGAAATCTTTGGAGCTTGTGGCATGCATCCAGTCTTCCTTTACACTGCCTTGCTGTGATCTTGCCCAGGAATGTGGATTCAGCCAGCCCATATTTCTAACTTATTGAAAGGGTTAGTATTGCTTCTCTTCAAGCAATTTGTGTATATTTACAGCTGCAGCACTGTTTAGTAGAAACAGCTCTGTCATGTCTGTTACCACATTAGAACTTCTGTGTAAAGGCAAAATGGACATCCCCCCAGGAAATGTGATATTTTTTAGTGTATGAGAATAAAGGGGTAACATCATTGCTGTGTTGATAAATAAGCTGTTCTGGCATAAACCACCAGTTTTATTCCCACTGATAAAAATGCCCATGACCAAATGGGTGTCTTCACTTGGGCCCGGCATTGGAGTCTGAACTGGAGCTGGATTCTACCTGATCTGCTCAGAGCAAAGGCTGAGGAATGGGACTGTTTCCTCCCATCACATGACCCTTACATAAACCTTGGGAAGTCAGTGAAATCTTCTGATCCACAAAAGCCAGGCTGCTGTGACACAGGCTGAGCAAGCCAGGTATCAGCTCACTGATTTCATGCATTGGCACATTTGTACTGAAATGGTGCATCAACACCAGTGCATTTAATGCTGCAGGAGGAAGATGGCATAGCAGAAGAGAGGCAGGCAAAGCACAGGCTCTGCCATAGCCTTGTGGGTGACAGAAACCTTGGCTGGCACCCTGCAGGTTCCATCTTTCCATCTGTGCCGTGAAGTACATAAATCACCCCAGCAATTAAAGCTAATGGATGTTGAGACAACAGTACGGCCAATTGGCTACCTACCCAAATTTTATCATTATACATCCTTGTTTTTCCAGAAATACATG